ATATATAAAATTAGCTTTAGGCTGGGTATATAATGTGCATATGAAACATAAATGAAATTTTGTGTTTAAACTGGGGTCCCATCCCCAGGATTTCTCATTGTATATGCAAATATTCCAAAATTCGGAATAAAGTCCTAAAATCTCAAACACTTCTAGTCCCAAGCTCTTTCTACAGAAAGAAAGACTGAGGTTCAATAGTTCAGGGGCTTGACAGTCAGATGGGGGAGCACACACTTGGACCACTGCCCTAGAATAACTCACTGAAATAAGAAAGATGCGGGGTAGTGTTTACTATACAGGTTGCCATCAGGAAATCTGAATGTTTGTCACTGGACTTGTTTGGGAACTGTTATCGTCACTGTTTTACAGGTGAGGAAAGTGACCTCAAGAGCGGATATGACTTGATTAAGGTTGCAAAGCTAGAAAGTGACATAAATGGAATGCAAACCTGGGTCTTCTGTCCCTTAGTGTTGTTTCACTACCTTGTACAGCATCCTTCTTAAAGTGACAACATATGTCTTTCAGAACCTGGCCGTGGGGGCTGGAGCTGTTGGATCTTTGCAGCTGACCTACATTTCAAAGGTAACGTTGGCCTGGTGTTCTGGGAATTCATGTTCTCCAAGAAGCTAAATGAGGAAGTGGCATATCCTTAGGGTGTTTGCATCTGGGGACATTCCATGGCATTAAAATGCTCCCTTCCCCCACACACCCCAGAGGAGGAGGATGTGCTGCTGCTGGTGGGGGGTGGGTGGTTAGGCAACCTATGTGTTGGTCAGCTTTTCATCACTGTAACAAATACATGAGATAATTGACTTACAAGGGGAAAGGTTTATTTTGGCTCACAGTTTTAGGGGTTTCTGTCCATGATGGGTTCGCCAGGTTTTCTCGGACCCTGTGGTGGAACAACACATCATGGTGAAAGTAGATCTCAGAACAAAACCAGTCACCTCATGGCTGGGAAGCAAAAAAACAGAAAGAGGGAAGGAGGGAGGGAGGGAGGAAGAGAGAGAGACAGACAGACAGACAGACACACACACACACACACACACACACACACACACACACACACACACACACACAGAGACAGGTCTCATGATGCTTTTCAAGGGCACCTCCCAGCCACCTAAAGACCTTCCACTGCACCCTACCTGCTAAAGGCTGCACCACTCCCAGTAGTTTCAAGCTGAGCACTAAGCCTTTCACGGGTCTTTGGGGGACATTTCACATCTAAACATAGTAGTATATATTGTACTCCCTGCAAAGGGAATGGTAGGTGGTAATTGACCTGAGAATAAGATTGGGATGTTGTAAACTTTTTTGTAATCGGGACAAAAAGGAACACAAATCCAGGAGCCGTAAAGGATTCTCCCAAAGGGTCCAACTGCAGCAGCTCACGGTCATATCAGCCACCCAGATAGGATGCCTGCCGATGAAAGGTTAAGAAAGCCTGGGGAGTATCTTCGTATGTGCCAGAACCACATTCAGCAGCCTGATAACTGTTGAGTTTGGCCAACAGCTGATAGGCCCTGCCCCGGCCCAGTTTGCAGGGATTCCTTTGTCAGAACTTGCGGTGGGGGCTGCTTAATGATGCCCACAAGTAATTGCTTTTAGTAGCCCCTCCCTGGGACAGGCACCACTGCTGCCCACTCATGCAGCAGTGATAGAAAGGCTGGAGATTGAGAACCTCCCCAGAATGAGGAACACTTTGTACAGAGAGGAGAGCCAGGTGGCCCCTAGCCAGCTCTGCAGCTCAGGAAGACCTGCGCTCCCCATGAAACCCTCACTGCAGGCCTCCTGGGGGCTGCTGTGTCCCTGCCAACCTCCTGCCCTCTGGGCCTTGAGACCTGTAGAGGTCACTGATCCGAGGGGCTCCTGTCCACCTGGTAACACCCTTCACACACACCCATGTGTGTGTCCTCTATCTTCGAGGCTCAAGAAGGGGTCTGAGTGTCCAGCTGCAGGAGGAGTGGCTGGGCATCCTGAGCCTGTGGGCTATGGGCAGAGCCTCTAGCTACAGCCCAGTGCAAAGGCAGAAGATACTGGGCAGCACTGGCGTGTCTTAGACAAAGAAGATCATGGCCTCGGGAAGGGGGAAGGGCTGCAAAGGCCAGCTTTGCTAGCACAGCTGCGGGCAGTTTGTGTATGCCTTGTGGTCAGAATGTGGCTGCCTCCCCAGGCCAGGCCGGCCCAGCCTGAGGCCTGGGCTTGCCTTCCTTGCTCTCATGTCCTCATCTTGCTGTGAGCTCATTTCTCCACAAAGAGGAATGAGGGAGCAGGGAGCAAACAGCCTGTAAAAAACGAAAGCTGAAACTTCTGTTGGAGAGGGTTTGGAAAGACTTTTGAGGGGAGGAAAGAGTGAATATAATCCCCTGCTGAATCATGATTTGTAAATGCAGCTCAGATGAGGGTTTTAGTATTTTCTGCTTTGGAGGCTGCCTCATTTAGAAAAGATGACCTGACTTTCAGCTCTTACTGAGATGGGGCCTGAGGGCCTTCGTGGGCCTTTTGCAATATCCACAGCTGCTACTGGGTCAGGTTACAGAGAGCTGAGAGCCTTTAACTCCTGCCTAACCCAATGCCAGAAGGCAGGGCTTTTCCCAGGGAAGCATTCAGCCCTGGTACTGTGTCTAGGTCAGCGGTCCTGGTTGTCTCTGCCTCTTCTTCTCTCTCTCTCCCTCTTTCTCTCTCCCATTACTGGGGTTTGAACCCAAGGCCTTCACACTGAGTTAAATTCCCAGCTCTTTTTCTATTTTTTTTTTTTTTTTTAATTTGGACTTGCTAAGTTGCCCAGGCTGTGCTCCCAACTTTGAATTCTCCTGCCTCAGCCTCTCAGTGCTGTGGGGTTTGCTCCTCTGCACCTGGCTCGGGGTTGTTTCTCGTTAGCCCACAGTCTTCCTCTCAGGGGAGGTATGTGCCCATGGTGTCAGATGGCCTCTCCGTTCAGCTCCCAGAGGTGTCTGCTGAGGGTCGTGTTGGGAAGGGGGGATGAGCACGCGGTTTTCCAGAGAGGCCCATGCCTGAGCTGATGTCACTTAGGACAGCCTTTGTGGCAGAACCATTTCCCGCACCGACTACCATAGAAAATAATTGAAGCTGGCGCTTGGCACTACACACCCACCCTCCTTCTTTGCCTCATTGGTCTCTCTTCTGTCCCAGCCACCTAGTGCATTTATTAGTTACTGGTACTGGGGTTGGAACCCAAGGCCTTTGCGCTGAGCTGGATACCCAGTTCTTTTAATTTTTAAAAAATTTTGACACAGGGTCTTGCCAATTTGCCCAGGCTGGGTTCGAACTTGTGACCATGGGGTGCCAGCATCCTGTGTTGTGCAGATGTGACAGAATTTGTGTAGTCTGAATCTGAACTTAGGATCTGTGGGCTTGCCTTTACTTACGTCTTCATTTTTGAGAACTTTCTGAGGCTGTATGGCTCCACCTCACATCATGGTAAACATACCAAAGTACACCGATTTTCCTCATTAAATAGAGTGGTCTGGACACACAAATGCATACCCACTCCCCTCTCTTACCATGTGATGTCCTCAGCCACCTCAGGACTCTCCCAGATGTAGGCCCTCAGCTTTGGATCTCCAGAACCATGAGCCAAAATAAACCTGTCTGTGTCTTAGGAAAAAAAAAAAGTCTAATTGTTTAGCTGTAAAATACTTGAAAGAGTGCCTTTGTTTTTTGGTACCAGGGATTGAACTTGGGTCCTTGTGCTTTCGAGGGAGACGGTGGAACCACTGAGCTAAATCCCCAGCCCTAAGAGTGCTTTTTAATTCGGACTGATTTGGCTGTGAACAGTGCACCTAGTTTATCCCCAGTTTCTAGGCAGTCATCTTTTTTTTTTTTTTGGTACTGGGGATTGGCCCGGGATCTTGCGCTTTTGAGGCAGGTGGCAGAACCACTGAGCTAAATCCCTGGCCCTTCTAGGCAATCATCTTGCACATATACACAGGATTCTTGTGAACTAAGACATCAGCTACAAATCATTTTCGAATGTAATGAAAAAATTTTGAATGCTTAATGAGAACATGAGTGAAGTTGATTTAATGTGACATCTTGTATGCATTTGGTTAAATACTTGGCAGTGAGGCCAATATAATGTTATGGAAACATTAAATATTTGCTAGTATTGGATGTGCCCCCTCTGTTTTGTATGTTGGAAGCCAGGCACTTTTTCAGGTCTCATACATTTTTGCTCATGGGCTGTCAGCATTTTGTCCGTAGTTCCACAGGTGGCACTGGTGTATTCTTGTGTGGAGTGGGTTTGTAAAAGAAATGCACTATCGGAAGCTGTGAGTTGTCCCTCCCTGAATGACCAGATTCTGTAGGACAGGATGGTTAAGTTCCTTGCCTGCACTCTCACATTAACCCTGTCAGAGCATGGTGTCATTACCCATATTTGATAGAACATGAAATAGAGGTCACACAGCTGGGACAGGATGCCTGTGGTTTGAGATGGTCTCCAAAGCCCAGGCTATACCGCATGTCCTTTTGATCTTTTATAGGCTGCTACCTCGGTTCCTGGTTGAGTAATTGGGCAATGTTAATTTTGGTTAAGGAATGTAGGCAGGTCTGTAAGGAAGAACTTAGAATCAAGAGCAAAAGCCTAGATAGCCTGATGGGTTAGTCATTATTAGACCCCAGCAACAGTGAGCTATGAAGAGACTTTCGGTTTGCTTTGTTTTTTGTTTCTGGGGATTGAACCCAGGGCCTTGGCACTGAGCTACATCCCCAGCCTTTTAAATTTTTTAAAATTTTGAGAGAGGGTTTTGCAAAGTTGCCCAGGTTGGGCTTGAAGTTGCAATCTTCCTGCCCAGCCTGCTAAGGTGCTGGGATTACAGGGGTGCACCATCACACCTGGCTAAGAGACATTAATTTTGACCAGAAAGGGGATTGAAGGAATAGTATCTGGGGAATGATAGTGACAGTGTGTGAATAGGTCCTGTGGGCAGGTGGGTGCTCCTTAGAGCTGCTCCTGAAATTCAGCCAACACCAAGGACAGTCACTAAGCCCTGGTGGGCATAGCAAGGAATATGAGCTGTTTGAACCAAAATGATGTGGGCTTATTATGCAGATGCTCAGGAATGTACATGCAAGAGGGAAGACTGCAAAAACAAGGTGAACTAGAGCCATGGGAGGCATAAAAATACTTTCACTATCTCAGGTCCATACCTGAGATAACTAGGTAGCCCTTGGAGTCATCAGCCCTTCTCTGGCAGGGGAAGTGCTCATTTGCATGGTCAGATAGCTCTCAGGGCAGCTGCTCAGGGTCCAAACACATCCAGTGGCTGCTGTGTCCCCTTTCTGAGTGCTCTGGTTGGAATGTAGTCAACACCACTCTCAATTTGGAGATGTTCAGGGAGAGGAGAGTTGGTGCTTGAAGGGGGAGTGAAATTTTGCCTGTGTGAGTGGGACCACACTGGGACTTGTGGGCCAAAGAGAATTTTGTCAGGACTCAGTGACTTCACAAAGACAAACATTAATCCAGGCATTGAGATAGCGGTTATCCCTGTGAGGTGGGGCTTCTACCAGAGAGGGGCACACAAAAGGCTTCTAAGACATAGGGTGATAATGCCTATTTCTTAACTGAAGTAAAAGTGTAGGCTTCTCAATTGTTATTCATTAAAAGGTAAAAGCGCTTGTAAAAAGTACATGTGTTTATTGTACTTTTGATGTATGAAAACTTTTACAGTGAAGTTTTTAACACCTTTGGAAACATATTCATGTTCCTTTCTTTATTTTTTATCGATGTAGGTGAGCATCGCTACCCCAAAGCAGAAACCAAAAACTCCATTTTGCTTTGGTAAGTACGGGGCTGGGATGGGTTTTGCACATACTCAGGTAGCAACTTCCTCTTTTGAATAGAGAATATTATGATCACATGCATGTGTGAGAGACATAAGTCATGTGTCAAGTGATACCACCTCCTCTGGTGTTGCTATGAAGATTCTTCATAGCATAAGGACAGATGTACAAGGAATAGTAATGTTTCAGATTTCTTGATGCCACAGGGAGGATGTAAAAATTCTATAGAAGTTTCTAAGAACCCTCATTTTAGAACTGAGTAATGGCTGGTTGTGGTGGCCCACTCCTGTAATCCCAGCACTCTGGGAGGCTGAGGTGGGAGTATTGCAAGTTCAAGTCCAGTCTGGACAACTTAGCGTCTTTAGTGAGACCTTCATCTCAAAATAAAAAATAAAAGGGGGTAGAGGGCTGGGGATTTAGCTCAGTGGTTTCGCTGCCTGCTGCGCAAGCGCAAGGACCTGAGTTTGATCCCCAGTACCAAAAAAAAGGAGGGGGGCTAGAAATGTAGCTCACTGTGAAGGTCCTGTGTTCGTTCCCCAGTACTGCAAAACAAACAGACAAGCCAAGTAATGCTGTGCTTAGGAAAGGTGGACACTTAGGGTAGGGGGAGGCAGGGTCAGGAAGGGGACGATAGAGAGGAAAGAGTGTCCTATGACAAGTCTCACTGTTGCTGAATGAGTTACAGTATGAGGGATGCCTAGGAAGCAGAGCCACTTAGTGGAGGCCTCCCATCATTAAATTGTTAGGGCATACTGTGCATTAGTCCCTGAAGTGTTGTTGGAGCCCACTGTGTTCGTGGAGCTGCACTTGTTGCCATGGGCAGGTGCTGGCCCACAGTTTCTGTGTGTATCAAGAAAGCAGGGTTTGTCCTCTGCGGTGGTGTTGAAGTTTCCTCAGCACCTAGAATAGTTCTAGCATAGTGAGCGCTCAATAAGTATTTGCTGAATGAATGAATGAACTAATAAATTCTGTGTCTGCCCTTCTATTTTAAGTCCAATACCTCAGGCTTATGCTTGTAGAATACAAGAGCCCTTTAAGCTGTCCTCTTTCTTGGCTGCGGATTGGTTCAAACTTCCTTGGCGCTCTCATTCTCCCGTTTCTTTCAAATATCATTGCTAAGCTCAAAAATGATTCTTAGATTTTGTGATCAGCAGATGTAAACATATACATGATAATAATGAACCCAGAAGTAAACTGTTGACTGAATGAAATGCTCAGAGGAAAGAGCTGATTACAAAGGAGGCCAAGGTCACAGCTTTGGTCTCAGGCAAGCTTTGTTCAGTTCCCAGCCACCAGCGAGGCTTGTAATCCAGGCCAGTTTGCCAGTGAAAATCAAAGTACTGGGTCCAAATTTTGTATGTATCATCATGATTGTAAATCTGTTAGCACTGCTATGAAGTGGCTCTCAGGGGCATCTTGCCGATTGTCCCAGAACAGCATGTCAGGGCTGCTGTCCATGTCAGATTGCACTCTTGTGGCTAGTGGAATAACCTTAGTTTTAAAGATGGGGGAAGAATGGGCAGTTGAGGGCCTGCTGCCTCTTAAATTGCCATGCAAGGGATAACATTCTAGGGGATTTCTTAACCCACTTGGTGGATGTTATGCATCTGGCCACCTCAGACACCTTAGCTTTGTGAAGTCTTGTTGTGTTGCATGTTTTCTGACCTGGGAATGTCTCGCCCTTCCCCTGTCTTTACAGTTATCAATGCCCTGTCACAGAGATATTTTCTTCAAGCCAATGACCAGAAAGATCTGAAGGACTGGGTTGAAGCCCTGAACCATGCCAGCAAGATCACTGTACGTGTGTGGTTTCTTCTCCCTCATGGGGTGAAAGTGTCCCTTCCCAGCTGTGGCCTGCCTGGGGTGGGGGAAAACAGATGGCAGCAGGGTCTTTCCCAGGAGCCCTGAGTAGGCACAGTGCCCCCCAGCCTCCTCTTGTCCATGGCTGATCAACCACAAACTCAAGAGCTTGACTTTGACTCAAGTTCAAGGGGAAGTGTATGGAGTGTCCCCTTTGAGCTTCCTGGAAGGGGTTCCCAGTCAGTCATGGCTGGGGTGATGCTGAATGCAGTAGGCTGGAAAATGGATTGCTAACTAAGAGAACAAAGTAAGGGAAAGCATATGAGAAGGGAGGTCAGAATGTTTTTCCTGGCTTAAGAGATACTCTTACTATTTTAAGAGGTTGCCTGGAATATCAGGCCAGGCCATCCACCCATCTGTCTTGGAAAAGCCTTCCATTTAAAAGCCTCAAGGAACTAGTTCATGGACTGCAGTATTCTTATTTTCCTTGACTTAGCTAATGAAAAACCATTTCCTCTTCCTTATAAATACTGAAAGAGGAAAAGAAAAATGTGAGAACGGAAAAGGGAAAATTGTGTTAGTCAGCTCTCTATCGCTATGGAAAAAAAAAACCCCAAATAATCAACTTATAAGGAGGAAGGTTGATTTGCGCTTCCAGTTTCAGAGGTTTTAGTCCATGGTTGTTTGGCCTGTTGCTTTGGGCCTGTGGCATGGCAGTATATCTTGGCAGGAGTATGTGGTGGAGACCTGTTCACCTCATGGCAGCTGGGAAGCAAAGAAAAACAAGAAGGGGTAGGGTCCCAATAGCCCCTTCAAGGGCACACCCCCAGTGACCTTACCTCTGCCTTCTGCGAACATTTCTTAAGGGTTCCACCACACTCCAACAGCACCACAGGGTAGTGACAAAATCTTTAACATATGGCCTTTGGGGGACACTTATCAACCATAGCAAAAACTGTATGTTTAGGGGAAAAAACCCTAAATCTTTGACCAGCAAGACAGGCAAACTGTAGACTTATAAACCATGGTTTGTTTGCTGAAAATTTGAATTTGTGTATTATCCAGTGAGAAATGCTTACATTTGATGACTTCCAATAATGCCTATGTCCCAGGGCAGATTAAGATTGCTGTGAATAAATCAATAGCTGAAATCCATACATGTAACATTTGTGGCACTAGAACCAACCAGAGTACAGTTTAGTCAGTTAAGCATGTTAGCTGATTAGTTTCTTATTCTGATAAACCTTGGCAAACCTGTGAAGAAAGAGTAAGCGAAGCGGGAGATTTAGCTTAGTGACACCAAGTGTAGGGTCCTGAGTTAGATCCCCGGTGCCAAAAAAAAGAAAGAAAGAGAAAGAGCCAAGCAGGGGAGGGAGGGAGGGAGGTTCTTGCTAATTGTGCGCTCTGGGTGCTCATCTCTGTGCAGGCAGGGTTCTGAAATGCCAAGTTAATGTTTTTTTCCCTCATGTTGGGGATCTTCACCCTTTTGCATCTTCCAGGATTTGGGGTTTTTTTCAGTGTCTAATATTTGACTCTTTTTATGTGTGTGGGTACTGGGGATGGAACCCAGGGGCTTGTGCATATGGGTAAGTGATCTGCCCCTGAGTTGCACCTGAGCCTTTCTAATGTTTTATTTTGAGACATGGTGTCACTAATTTATGCCCAGACTGGCCTCAAACTGATTCTCCTGCCTCAGCCCCCCAAGTAGCTGGAATACCAGGTGTACACCACCATGCCTGGCTAGTTTCTTTCTGGGTTTCTGCCTCTTCTTGAAAGTAAACTGAGCTAGACAGCCTGCAAGGCAGCAAAGAGGCTCTTTTCTTCCTCCCTCCCTGTCTCCCTTCCTTCCTTTTCTTGGTGCTAGGGATTCTGGCCAGGGTCTCGTGCAAGTTAAGCATATATTGTGCCATTGAGCTATACCCCCAGCCCCTATATTTAAAAATCTTTATTTTGGTGCTGGGGACTGAACTGAGGGCTTTGAATATGCTAGGCCTGTGCTCTGCCACGGAGCTGTACTCCCAGATATTCGTCTTTCTTTTGTGCCTTGAATGTTGAGTTGCTGTAATTGTCTGGTTTTTCCTGCCTCTTCTCTGGCTTCACAGAGCAGCAGCTGTAGGATGTAGGTGTGGATCTGATGGGCTGGGCCTGAGGTTGGAAGGTGACAGGGCCTCCTGGGTGTCAGCACCTCCGTGAGTTGCCACAGTCTCCAGGATTCTCTTTATTTCCCTTTTCTTGGTGAAGGAATCAGTTTGCCACATCCATGGATTCCGCATCTATAAATTTAACCCACTGTGGATTGAAAGCATTCAAAACAATTGTCTGCACTGAACATGTAGACTTATTTTCTTGTCATGATTCCATAAACATTACAGTACAAGAGCTATTTCCATGGCATTTTCTTGTACCAGGTATTATAAGCCACTGAAAGATGTTTAAAGTATACAGGAGGCAGTGCACAGGGTACATGGAGATCATACTCCACTTGTACTTACAGAGACAGTGAGCATCTGTGGATGTTGGTGTCCTAGGGGTGTCTGGGAACTGGTCCTCCCTTGGTGCTGAGGGATGGCTGTGTCTCATCATTTCTCCTGCCAGGAGGTCCTGTGGTATAGGAGGAGGAGGAAGGGTACAATGTTTTCTCCTAATCTTTCTGTCTCAGAAGGGTTTTTCCTCTCTCCTCTTTCTTCCTTTCTCTTTCTCCTCCCCTGCCCTCCCTTTCTCTCTTCCTTCCTTCCTCCCCCACCCTGTTCACCTTCCCTCCTCATTTCCCTTTCTCCTCCTTATCCACCTCCTCTTCTTCTTCTTCCTCCTCTCTCTCTCTCTCTCTCTCTCTCTCTCTCTGCCTCCCTCCCTCCCTCCCTTTTCTGATATTGGGGATTGAATTTAGGGCCTTTGTACTGAACTGTATCAGCCCTTTTTGAAACAGGATCCTGATAAGTTGCCCAGTTGGGCTTGAATTCTCCTGCCTCAGTCTCCTAGGCTGCTGAAATAACAAGCACGCACTACCATGCGTCCTTTCTCTTTCTACAGAGTTTCATTTTGTGTGTCATTCCTTAGGCTGGAGTGAGTTGGAAAGAGTTGGGGCTGTGGTTCCATGTGATGAAGCACATATTTTAGACACCACATGTGCCAAGTGAGGCACGTTGGAGAAGGTGGAGATGAAAGAGGAAACAGATTGTGTAGTAAATGAGACTTCCACACATGATGTGTCACTCTTGCCCAGCACTCTTATGAGACAGGGTGTTTGTTTTGTTTTGTTTTGCTTTTGGCATGGGGATCAAACTCAGGACCTTGCGCTTGTGAGGCTGGTGCGGTGCTACTGAGCTAAATCCCTGGCCGAGACAAGGTGTTTTAAGGCCACTTTTTAGCAGGCACCTGGAGCTCAGAGTCCTGCCCAAGGCCAAGAGGATAGTAACTGCTGGGTTGGGATTCTAACCCAGGTCCCCTGACTTCTGGGGAGTTTATAGTTTATAAAAATATTAAAAATAAACAGTTGTAAAATATGTTAGATCACACACTACTTTTATGTGTATGGCTTCATTTTAACCTTGTAAAAACGTTAAGTAGGAGGGACAAGGGTTATTATCCCTGTTTACATACGTGAGGAAATAGAAATACCTAGAGATTAAAGTACTTGCCTTAGATCACAGAGCCAGGACACATCCATTTTTTCTGCCCACAGATTACTCTTCATTTTAAAAAATGTATTTTTATTAGTGTGTATTAATTTTTACAATATTGAGATAGGATCTTGCTAAGTTGCCCAGTTGGGCTTGAACTTGGAATCCTCCTGCCTCAGCCTCCCATGTTGAATCCATCCCCCATCCCCCTCCTTTATACTCCTCTTTCCCTTATTCCCTTCTTCTTGTCTAATAATGATAATTTCCCTTCTACTTTCATGTCATCATCTTTAGAGTCTACATTCAGTCTACCGTGGTTCACTTGACTGCCTCGACTTACTGAATTTGATGCTGAGCGCATTTTGATGTGAGAACTTTGTCTGGGTACTCATTGTTTGTTTGGTGCTTGATGTGCACAATAGAATTTGGTGGTACTCATCATTCTTGCTGCTTGTCTTGGCTCCTCCAACCAGTTATCGATGGGTCTGGGTACTGCTGTATTAGGGAAAACACGTGATACTTGTCTTTCTGAACTGGCTCGCAAGTGTCCTGCCTAACACGATGATCTCTAGTTCCATCCATTTTTTTGCAAATGACATGATTTCATTCTTCTTTACAGCTGAATAATACTCCATTGTGTATATGTACCACATGTTTATCCATTCATTCATGAATGCGAACCTAGGCTGGCTCTGTGTCTTGGCGGTTGTGAATTTCGGGTATGTGGGTATCCCATGGTATGCTGTCTTTCATTCTTTTGGGGCTGTATCTAGGAGTGGTATAGCTGGGTCATATGGTATTTATATTTTTAGTTCTTTGAGGAACCTCCAGACTGATTTCCCCATGGCTATACTAATTTACATTCCCACCAGCAGTGTAGAGGTTTCCTTCTTCTCGGCAGTCTTGCCTTCGTTTTGGTTTTGTATTCTTGATGAGATTGCATTCTGAGTGGGGTGAGACAGAATCACAGTGGAGCCTTGGTTTGCATTGCATTTCTCTAATTGCTGTAGTTGTTGAACATTTTTTTTCCATACAGTTATTGGTCATTTTTACTACTTATTTTGGAAAGTATCTGTTCAATTCATTTGCCCAGTTTTTTGATTAGGCTATTCAGTGGTCTTTTGGGTTTTGTTTTTGATGTTAAGGATTTTGAGTTCTTTATATTTTCTGATATTAATGCTTTGTCAGAAGAGTAGCTGGCTAGATTTTCTCCCTTTCTGTGGGGTGCCTTCTCACTCTGTTGGTTGTTTCTCTTGCAGTGAAGAAACTGTTTAATTTGAAGTTGTCCCATTTGTTGATTCTTGATATTATTTCCTGTGCTATTGGAGTCCTATTCAGGAAGTCTTTGCCTGTGCCTATGACTTTACATGTTTCCTTTATGTTTTCTTCTAGCAGTTTCAAAGCTTCAGGTCTTATACCTGGTTTTGATCCACTTTGAATTGATTTTTGTACAGGGTGAGAGAGGGATCTAATTTCAGTCTTCTACATATGGATATCCAGTTTTCCCAGCACCATTTGTTGAAGAGGCTATTTTTTCTGCAACATATGTTCTTGGCTCCTTTGTCAAGAGTCAGATGGCTGTAGTTGTGCACGTTTGTTTCTGTGTCCTCTATTCTGCTTCATTGGTTTATTTTTGCTTTGGTACCATACTGATTTGTTACTATGGCTTTGTAATATAATGTGAAATTAGGTATTTTGATGCCTCCTGCCTTGCTCTTTTTGCTCCAAATTGCTTTGGCTACTCTTCATCTTTTGTGTTTCCACATGAATTTTAGGATTGTCTTTTCTAATTCTGTGAAGAACGTCATTGGAATTTTAATGGAATTTTAACTGTTAAATCTGTGATCACTTTTTTTTTTTTTTTTGGTACTGGGGATTGAAGGGACCTTGCACTTTCGAGGCAGGTGCTGGAACCACTGAGCTAAATCCCCGGCCCTTCTGTGATCACTTTTAATAATATGGCCATTTTAACAGTGTTAATTCTCCTACTTCATGAATACGAGAGCTCTATCCATCTTGTAGTATCTTCAATTTCTTTCTTTAGTGCCATGTAATTTGTATTGTAGAGGTCTTTCACCTCCTTGGGTAGGTTGATCCCTAGGTTGGTTTGTTTGTTTTTAAGCTACCTTGAATGGAATTGTTTTCTTGATTTCTTCCTCATCAGGTTCATTATTAGTATATAAACAAGCTATTGATTTTTTAGTATTGAATTTATATCCTGTATTGTTTGTTTTATGCTAAGGTCATTGAACTATGATTGAGGAAAATATTCAACATTTGATATTTAAAGAAATGGGTTCTCTCAGAATAATAGTGACCTTGCATTAGATTTCTAGGCTGTTGTAGCAAACTGGTTGGCTTAAAACCGTGTAAATGTATGTCTCTCAGTTCAGGGGCTGGACTTGGAAGTCAGGGTGTCAGCGTGGCTGTACTCCCTCTAGATGCTAGGGGACAAGCCTTCCGTTACTTCCTGGGCTTTGGGGACTTTCACAATCCCAGTGTGCCTTGGCTTGTAGCTGTATCACTCCATGTCTGCCTGTTTGCATCTGTCCTTCCTCTGTGTGTCTGTGTGTCCCCTCCCCTTCTTATAAAGTCACAAGTCATGGACTCAGGGCCCCTCCTAGGACAGTATGGCCTCATATTTCCCTTCATTGCATCTTGACCCTACTTTCAAGTAGGAGTACTTTCTGAGGTGGACTGTTTATTCAACTCACTTCATTTCACAAAAAAGTTGAAAATTGAGTGAAGGAAAGCATAGACTTCCACCAAAGTTGGGTCATTCCTCGTAGTAGTCTAGTTGTGCATGATGAGAAGAAAGATGAGTCTTTGCAAACTGCACTCCACGCTACAGATGCAACCATGGATCTACCTTATCGGGACACTGCACAGGTGTGGAGGAGGCCACACCTTTGGTTAGGCCTCAGGTTTAGGAATGACCAAAAGGACAACCTTCTTTTCAAGGTGTGTAGCTCAGGTGTGGTTGTTTGTTTTCACTGGCTGATTTCAAGACTTAAAACGTGGAAATACATTATACAAGTTGAGTATCCCTTATTTGAAATGCTTGGGACCAGAAGTGTTTTGATTTCAGATTTTTGGGGGTTTGGGAATATTTGCATAGACTGTACATAATGACAAATCTTGAGGATTGGGCCCACATATAAACACAAACTCATTAGTCTTTCATTTACACCTATGTGCACTGCCTGGAGATAATTTTATACCATATTTTTATTTATTTTTTGGTACCGGGGATCGAACTCGAGTCCTTGCGCTTGCGAGATGGGTGGCGGAACCACTGAGCTAAATCCCCGGCCCCTATACCATATATTTTTTAGTGTGCCTGCATTTTCACTGCAGCCTGTCACACAAGCCTGTACTATATGCTCCCTCGACCTCTGCCCATGCTGGGGATCATTGAACCAAAGGTCTCATACATACTTGGGCCCCACCCTCAGCCCTTCCATAGCATTTTTATCTGTTCTACTTTTCCACTGGACTTTCTCCCATCTCTTCTTTCCTGCAGTTTCACCATCTGTTCCTCTGGAGACCTCTGATGACCCCTCCATTTCCAGTAGTTCCCCTGATGCTCCCTGCCACAGCTCCCACTTACTTCCCCATGGAAGACCCTGCCTTTTATAGATATTTGGATGTATTGCTATGCACTTTTTTGCCAGTCTCACCTGCTAGTGTGTAAATGCCCTGAGGGCAGGACTCTCGTCTGTTTTGTTTGATGTTTAATCTTTGGCTTCTGACCAGGGAAAAGCTGACTCGTGGTATAAGTGCTCAGTAAATTTGTGGAGTAAGTTTTTTGCATGTGTGTGTGTAGTGTGTGTGTGTGTGTGTGTGTGTGTGTGTGTGTGTGTGTGTGTGTGTGTATGCATGCAGGGGTATTGCTGGCTGAGTTCCTCATATTCAGATATGAATTGATGGAAGGGCTGGTGTATTAGTTACTTTCTCATCCCTGGGACAAAATGCAAAATCCTGGCAATGTAAAGGAGAAGAGGTTTATTTTGCCTCGTGGTTCCAGTGGATTCAGTCCTTGGTTGGCAGACTCCAAGGCAGAAATGGCATGGCAAAATAGCATGCCAGAGCAAATCTGTTCACCATAGGGAAGTCAGGAAGCAGAGAGAGAGGGAGGAACTGGAATAAGAACATACCCTTCCAAGTCATACCTCTAATGACCTACCCCTTCTGACCAGGGCCTGCCTCTGAATGTGAGCCTTTGAGGGTACATTTTAGTTCTAAACCATAATAGCTGGGTTGAGAGAGGACTCTTCTAATAGTTTGGCACATTAGCTTTTCTTCCTACCCCCATCCTGCTTTTGGGTCCCTACTTTTCCTAAGCCTTCTGGATTGACCATACTGCCATTTCTCCTAGGTACCCAAAGTTGGGAACTTACCCCTGACTACAGAAGTTCTCCAAAGCCTAACAGCCCCTTCAGCCCTGGAGAAGAAGCCACAGGTGGCCTACAAGACAGAAATCATCGGTGGGGTGGTGGTGCACACGCCCATCAGCCAGGTGCTGGGGCCTGGCTGGACTGTGGGGGATGGGGAGGGTATGTAGTGTGGTGGTGTGCTGGTGATGGCACAGAGTCTGTAGCAAGAAAGAGGTAGATGGGAATTGGGGGGCTAGTCTAAGAATGAGTGAACTGAAAAATACAGTGGGGATAGGTGTAATGACGGTGCAGAAATTGAGGCCACTGCATCTTGAAACCATGTGGCTAATAGGCTTCTGCACAAAGCCCAGGGGATGACCTGGGGAAGTGAGGTTAAGGCAGGCAAGGAAGCTAGAAACAAGCCTACTGTGCCTCTTCCTATCCCTTCCTATTCCCCTTTCTGGTTTGTATTCTCTGACTTTCTCTTTCACCTGAGTCTGCCCAACTTCCTTGAGTCTTACCTTGGTACTGTACTATTTTTTTTTTTTTTTTTTTTGGTACCAGGGATTGAACTCGGGTCCTTGTGCTTGCGCAGCAGGCTGCGAAACCACTGAGCTAAGTCCCTGGCCCAGTACTGTACTATTTTGAAACTTGGAATTTGGTGCTCAGTACATTTTGACAAGAAGACTTTGTTCTGGTATTCATGGTTTGATTGATACTCGATGCACAAGCTAGACCTTGTTGGTGTCCATTGCCCCATGACTCCCTACCCAGAACAAAGTCAGTCTTTCTCCCTCCTTTACGTTCTTCCTCTTTTCTTTCCTCTCTTCCTCTTCCTTCCTTCTTTCCCTCTTCCCTTTCTCTTTCCTTCTTTCCTTCCTTCCCAGGGCCTCCTACATGCTAGACGATCACCTTACCACTGAACTATACCCCTAGCCTTTTAAAATTTTATTTTGGGACAAGATCTAGCTGGGTTGCCTAGACTGGCCTTGAACCTGTGATCCTCCTACTTCAGTCCTGAGTAGCTGGGACTATAGGTGTGAGCCACCATGCCTGTCTTTAGTGTTTCTGGATCTTTCCAGATCTTTGGAGATCTGGCCAGAGGGTGGGGAGGGAGTGTGGCTATAGAGAGGAGTGATCAGGGTGCTAATTCCTACCCTGTTTCGTTGTAGAATGGTGGGGATGGGCAGGAAGGGAGTGAGCCAGGGTCCCACGCCATCCTGCGAAGGTCTCAGAGTTACATCCCCACATCAGGCTGCCGAGCTTCCACCGGGCCCCCCCTCATCAAGAGTGGCTACTGTGTGAAACAAGGGAATGTGGTGAGTGTCAGCACAGGGGCTGGATCTGTTTCTGGTGACTCTTTGGAGCCAGTGGGTATGGACACACCAGAGGTGAGAGAATGAAAGGAGGAACTGTAGTCCTCCATGTTGGCCACTTCCTAAACCAATGAGATTTGGGGAGCAACCATGGGTCTCACATGGCAGAGGTATTGCCCCAATGCAAAGCCTTGGATCCTGCGGAATGTGGGAGCCTGGCTTCCACTGGCCCAGTGCCTGGACATTGCCATCAGAACACTCTCTGCAGTGTGGGAACCTCTCCCTAACATTCAGCTCTTTAATTTTTCATGTCAGCGGAAGAGCTGGAAACGCCGCTTCTTTGTACTCGATGACTTTACCATCTGCTACTTCAAGTGTGAGCAGGTTAGTAGTAAGCTTGGGGCCTTTCTGGGGGTCATGGAAGATAAGAGGTATGTGAGTACTCACCCACAGGACACACACAGACTTGAAGGCACTTGTCTTCTCTCCATCTCTGTGTGTGCTTCTTTAGTGATATTAAAGTGATATTAAAGTGGCATGAGCTGGTCCTGCCCTCTGTGCAGTGAGCGGCTGCGTGATCAGAGCCTCAGAACATTTTCTTCTTAGATTTTTTTCTCTTAATGATTGCTTTGAGGTCAGGTTGCTTATCAACCTGGGCTTAGCCAACCACCTTTAAGAGGGGTCATTGGTCAGTTGATTGGTCAGTGGATCATGTGAGCTCACTCATTTATCTCTACATTGTTCCTACCAGGACCGAGAACCACTGCGTACTATATTTCTCAAGGATGTTCTCAAGACCCACGAGTGTCTGGTCAAGTCTGGGTAATTGTCTCTGCTTATTCTTTTCTGATCAAAATCTCCATTTGTCTGCTTAAATCTTCATAAACTACACTTCTAAGGCTCTGCTTATCTATCTTCCTCCTCAAGAGGGGAACAGGAACCTAACGTCTATGGCTGACTTGCTGCCTTCCAGCTGACATAGGGGTGAGGTCACACCGGGCAGACTTACCTTTTTCCTGTTACTTTCCTCTTGCACCTCAGGAGATAAGCCTTTAAAATAGTTTTCATTATTTTAAATAAATAATGAAGAGAGAGGAGCTCAGATTCTTTTCAGATGTTAGGATTACTCGGTTTGCAGGAGGAAGAGCTGTGCCTTTGGTCAGATCACTGCTTCCCGTGGCTCTTGCATGAACTTCTCTGCCTTTCCTCTCCTCCTTTTGACCTTGATGTCTCATTAGCACAGGGCGATTTGCAACATATCTGTGTTACTACCCCTGGGCAGGAAGAATAAATATTTTTAATGTGTTCCTCTTTCCACTATATACCTTCCATGATGATGTATAGGATGAGTTTGGAACTTGGCAAGGGAACATATCATACTGAATCCCCAATACAGATGATGCTACAGTTAAACTTCATAGACCCCCAAGGGCCTTTGGGCATGCTGAGATCCTTAGAGATCCTTCATTGTTCCTGAACCTAGAATACCAATGTAGACATGAGACTATTGGCCTGTTGAGGTAGAGCTCAATCCTAACAGTACTTTGAATTTGCCCTAAATTTTGCATTCTTTCAGATCACACTAAACTCTGGGTAAAAGAAGTCAGGGAGGGCTGGGGATGTGGCTCAGTGGTGTTGTGCCTGCCTGGCAAGCACAAGGTCCTGAGTTAGATCCCCAGTACCAAAAAAAAAAAAGTTCGGGATTTGAAAGTAGCAGGGAAAGAATCCCCAGGGCTCCTCAGCTTCCAGGCCTGTTAGGTTGTGTGGCCTCTCTGGAACCTCGTCAGGAGGTTCAGGACATCTGAGGAGGTTCAGGACATCTGAGTAATCAGTGAATGTTTGCTCAGTTAAATGGAATTGATTGAAAGGCAACACAAAGCCTGGGAATTAGAGATGAAAAGGGTGGGGATTTCCTACCTGCTTTTTGTTCAGTTGGTCACATTGTCATGAATCAGATGCATGAATGATCTAAAAGATCAAAATATTCAGCCAGAAAGAAGTGACATCTCTATGCAAGAGCACCAGCATTAATAAGTTGGTGAAATTGTTTCAAATGGCACACATTATACCGAAAGCCTTTGTACCTGTCTTAGTTACTTTCTCATTGCTGAGACACAATACACAACACTCACAAGTTAAAGGTGGAAAGCTTTATTTTGGCTCACAGCTTGTAGAGGTTTCAGTCTGTAGTCAGGTGGCCTCAAGGCAGGGTGGCTTGGTGGAGAGAGGCAGCTCATGGCACAGCTGAGGGAAGCAGAGAGCAAAGAGAGGACTGGGAAGAGATGAGCCCTTCCAGCCACACCCCCCGCTGACCCACCTCTTCCAACCAGATCCGCCTCTTAACAGCAAGTCAGCTATAAACTCATCAGTGGACTGATCCACTGATGAGTATCACACTGTCATAATCCAATTCCCTCCCCTGAAGCCCCATCTATGAGCACATGAGGCTTCTGGGGGAACATCTAGATTTAAACCATAACAGCACCTTAGAATTGATCTTTGTGGTTACCAGCTTGATAAAAGAGGTCTTTTTATTCCTGTTTTATACTTTGGTTTAGAAAGGCTCACAATTTCTTTTAAACATAACCCAGCACCTCTTCCTGAGTTGAGCCACCATTTCACTCCATGTATCTCTGACCCCTGTCTTGTCTTTAGCCTCATGCTCCTCCTGTGTCTGGTGCCCATGTCACTGGCTGGGCCCCTGCCATGTCCTCCCAAGTCTTTACTCATGAAGCCAACCAACGCTGCTTGTGATTGGACCTTTCTTGGAATGACTTGGCATAGAACACACACACGTTCTTGGCATAGAACTAAAATGTGATTGTGCAGTCCTGCTTTCTTGGATTATTTCTAGGTAGGATTTAGTTTTCTCACTCTTTATATGCTCCCTGCAGTGGCTGGATATACACAGCAGGCATTTGACCCTGTAAAGCATTTTGGCTGATCTGAGGTTTGTCCCTGAGCATTGGCTGTGTCTCTCTTTTCTTCCTTTTTACAGGAATTGGGATTGCTCTTCCAAACTCCACACCCAGTTTAGAGTAGTCTGCGGTCACCCTCCTTCTCCTCTGTTTAGCTCCTTGTCTCCTAGGCCCAGAACAATGAGACCAGCTGCAAGGCTTGAGGCAGGTGGATGGGGTTGCTGACTGAATGGAGAGAAATTTTGGGAAGGGAGAGTTGGCACCTTTACGAGAGGCAAATGGTAGTAGAATCATTGGAAGCCTAGACCCTAGAGCTAGACCTGTGTTCAGATCTGTGGCACTGTGGACACATTTGTATCATTTAGACTCCCCGAGCCTGGGTTTCCTCATTTATAAGTGCAGAAAGTCTTAGGGCACCTTACTAGCTGATTGTGGGGATTCGATGAAATCATATGCAAAAAAGCCTTCAAACTGGTGCATCACACAGTACTCTATACATCTAAGTTACCGAGAAAGAGAGAAGGAAGGAAAGAAAGAAAACTGTAGGGCAGTGGGAGATAACAGACAGGAGCATTTGGAGGGGAAAGGAGCTTTACCATGTTAGAAGTGGTTCTGATGGTAGTGGTGGTGGTAGAATGAGCTGGAGGAAGCCTAGGAGTGTTGTGTTTTTTTATTTGTTTTTGAGGCACGGGCTGCAGGAGAAATGGCTTGGATACCTTCATCTTCCTTTTTTATGGTAGAGGGCACACCAGTGCCTAGACTTAGAGCAAGCATTGAGGACCCCGGATATCCACCAATATGCCCAGTAACTTTCTTCCTTTTTCTCTGTCTAGTGATCTCTTAATGAGGGACAACCTGTTTGAAATAATAACCGGCTCCAGGACCTTCTATGTGCAGGTAAAATGCTCACCCTGAGACAACATGGCTTGTGTAATAATGAACTAATAGGGTTCATTCTTTCCCCTGCTTTGTCTTTACTTTTGCTTGAAGTTAAGAGATGGTAAAGTTAGCCTGTAAGAGTCAGTGTGAGTCCCATTTTATTCTAAACAGGATGTTTGCCAAAAGCTTCCAAGCATAAAAGAGTAAAAGCAGGTTGAGCACTGTACTGGAGAATGTGAGTTTGCTCAGCCACTGGGCTCCTGCTAAGCACAGAAAAGGAGAACTGGTCAGTGATTTCACTTCTGCTTTGGAGGGTATTTATAAGTCCGTCTGTGTGTGGACATCACTGTGTGCGGAAGGACAGCAGCACAGAGGGCCCTGTACTGCACCAGGTGCAGAGCCCAGCTGCACAGAGAGAGCCATTGTTTGGGCCCTGAGGTTCACTTATCAGGAGCTTCCCCTCCACCCACAGCTCTGGAGCTCTCCCAAGCCCTATGAGAGCCAGAGAGCTGGCAAGGCAGATTTCCAAGCAGGGCGTGGACATTTAGGGCCAAGTCCCCACCCCATCCTGCCTGGTAGTCCACAGATTGGATTGGTTCACAGCAGCATGAGGTTGTGGGGTTTCTGCATTGGAACTTGTACATGGCATGTTGGCTTCAGTAGGGGCTTCCCAGCTCCAACTTTTGGGGATTCCCAGCCCTCTTTCTTCCACGCTGTCCTCAGAACCCTGCCTTTCACAGGGAATTGAGCTTCCTTCACATTTCTTGGGCAGCAGCTCCTTGTCTCCACCACCCACTGCCTGAGCCCAGCAAGCATGCTGGCCAACTTGGTCATCTGTGGACCATGCTCATTCCAACAAGCAGTGTCTTCTTCAAGAGGTGCCATGGGGCAGCCTGTGGCAAACAGTGCTGTGATGCAAAGCTAGTTATTCACCAACACCATTGCTATTTGGGGGACAAGGTGGACCCTGGAGATGCAACGAAGAGTTGCTAGTTCTTGTATTCCACAGGTAGTTGTAGAGTAGCCTCAGTGTGCTGGGTGTTTTGTCTCAGACCAGAGACACCAGGTTAAACAGAAGCAGTCCTGAGCCCAGGAGAGTCTAGCCAAGTAAGCGGGTCTGGACCATCTGATGAGGTGGGGTTGGAAGTGCTGGGTAAGTGAAGCACAAGGATTTACAGGGTAGGTAACTGTTGTGACAGCGGGAGTGTGACCTCGAACTCTGCTGGACAAATCATCATTAAATACATATTGAAACAGCATGCAGGAGGTCAGGGGCCTAACTTGAAATGCAGCATGGGGGATAGGGGAGGACGAGGTGGAGAAGAAGTAAAAATGACAAAGACATGATATGTGTATGTACGGACTCCCCAAGAGGACTGTAATGATTATTATCACACAAAAGCCAGTCAGCATGTATTTTCCTCTAAGTATGAATATCTCTAAAATGTGACTTTCTAATTTCTGATGTAAAAATAAAATAAAATGCTAAATTGATGACAGATTAATAAGTATCTGCATCTGAGGAAAAAAATGAATCCAAATGTATTACAGGTATGAAACAAGCTCCCTGAAGGGGGTGAAAGAATATAAAACATAAACAAAAGCAAGGCTGGGTACAGTGGTGCATACCTATAATCTCAGTATTCTGGGAGGCTGAGGCGAGAGGGTCACAAGTTTGAGCTCAGCCTGGGCAACTCAGTGAGATCCTATCTCAAAAATCAAATGAAAGGGCTGGGAGTGCAGCTCCGTGAGAAGGCTGTGGGTTCAGTCCCTGGCACTGAAAAAAAAAGCTCACAAAACCATGTGATCGGTGTGACTGTGGGTGTGACTGCAAACTGGGTCCTCCTAAGAAGGGAGTGGGGAAGGTTTCCTGAAGGAGGGGCGTCTAAGCAGAGTTGGGGGAGTGGTCCAGGTGGGCAGAGGAGCATGAGTGTGAGAGGCTGCCAGCCTTTTGTGCAGGGCTGTGTTCACTGTGTCTACCTGTCCGAGACCTTCTGCTCTATCCTGAGAGCTCGAGCCTTCAGTGCTTCGGTGAGGGAGCAATTAGCCAGGTTTGCCTTTAAAATATAGTACCTGGACTTGGGCAAGTTATTTAGTTTTCCTCACTGGTGAAGCAGAGATGAGAAGCTCGACTCCAAGCCTTCTAGTGATGTTCTAACTGTAGTGTCTGGCCTAGGGCATTGCTGAGGGCAGAGGAGAAAAGGACAAGGCAAGACCGGCAGACCAGTTCAGGAGCTGTTGGAATAACTTAGGTGAGGGATGAAGTTGCCTGAACTTGGATGGATGGAGAAAAGTGGAAAATGTGAAAGTTATTAAAGGGCTTGACTTTCCAGGACTTGAGAATCGTTTGGGAAAAGGCAGAGGGGAGAGGCAAGGATAATGCTGGGGGTTTGGCCTGAGCCTTGTGGTGGCCAGTGGAGCCAGTCACTTCTTGGGAGCAGGGGTGGGGGCCGCTGAGAAGAAAGACAAGCTTAGCTCGAGTAGTCCTGCATTCAGTGTCTTTGGGATGTGACATCCAAAGGGACAGGCTGTGGTGAGCACTAGCTAGATGATGCTTGACATGTTAGTGACCCCGAGTAAATACTTAGTGAGTGGTGGCAGTGCTGGTGAAGAGCTTAGGAGAGGGCCCTTGACAGAAGATAGTGCTTTGGGAAACCAGAAACTCAACTAAGAACTGTGCAAAAGACATTGTGTTATCTGCTTGAGTGTACACACTTTCCAGAAGTCTCTCCTCACTTCCATCCTCCTTTCTCTTCTGGTATAAAAGAATGCTAGCCTCACTCTGAATAAATAAGTGAGTGACTGGTTAAATCTGTTTATAACAATTCAAAGTCAGTGGGAAGGAAGAAGAGATTATAGATAAAAAATGTATGGGTGAATATACAGACGAAAAAATATAGAAAAAATCATTAAATGTTTATTAGTTCATTGCAAATAGCATCTATAAACTCATATGTTAGCCAGCTATATTTTAGGAAAAATAACTATAAAATAGCAAGAAGAGTAGTATTTAAATGTTTTTTATATGTCTGATGGCTGTATAATACAAGACAGCAGGGTTTTCATATCTGCCCCTGTATTGTTTCTGTGGCCATTTGTCTTTTGGATTGAAGAATATGAAAATCTAGCCTTATGAAAATATGTAATTTTTAAAAAGAGATATTTTAATGTTTTTTTACTCAATTATGGATATTCTTCAACTTTATATCAAAACTTGACAAATAGTAATTTCTTAATGTTTAGGTGAAATGTAGAGTTTGAAGCCAGATCAATAAACTTTCATATTCTTGCTTTAAATCCAGTGGTCTATCCATGCATGGCTTTGTAACAACCTGCATTGATCATTTGGAAAATACTGGTCTTACTGAGGTATGCATGTCTTCCAAATGTTGACACATTTTATTACATAATATTTAAAAAGTCACATTCATTAGGTCATCATCACTCATTAGAAGTGTCATTAAGTATGAAAACTTATTGAGCTCATGGAGGTATAGACAAATTTTTGGAAATTCTAATTTTTGTTTTGAAAGCTCAAAGTTTATCATTGCGAAAAAATAACTGGTGTGATTTTCCCTTGATATTGCAACCTCTTTCATTCACCATTTTTTTTTTCTTTCCTGGTACTGGGGATCGAACTCGGGTCCTTGCCTTTGAGGGGCAGGTGGCGAAACCACTGAGCTAAATCCCCAGCCCAAAATCATGTTGTCTTATTTTTTCATGTTTCTTTTTTTCTTTTTTCTTTTTTTGGTACCGGGGGTAGAACTTGTGCTTGCAAGGCAGGTGGCAGCACCACTAAGCTAAATCCCTGGTCCTACTTTCATTCATTGTTGAAGAAAAAAAAAAGTCTGCTAAATACCTGCACCTGAAGAAGTAGTACTGACAGTTCGTTGTGTCAGTCATTTGTTCCAGGTCACTCACGTTTCATGCGAAGGGAGAAGGGATAAGACTGCTTGTATGCTTTAGTGCTGAGATTTTACCCAGCATGCAAAGTGGAGATCTGACCTGCTTCCTAAGTTATCCTCAAGTACATCTGCTGGAAAGAACTCTTCACCTAACCTCAGTATCAAGGAGAGCTGGACCACAGCAGAAATAGGCACAGAAAACAACTCTGCAAACCCAGGAGAGACTTGGGTTGGGTTCTGACTACTTAGGTATTGGTCATTTAACTTACATGTTGCATTTATTATGTATACTTTCTACCTGTGATTTCTCACATTATATTAGTCTTTGCTGTTAATAAGAAGCAGAGCCATTTATCGGACTCTTAGATGATCTAGGCACAGTGCTGAGAAACTTAACAGGCAGCATCTCACTTAACTTAAGGCAGCCTCTGAGCTCAGCTCCACTTTATCCATGAGGAAACAGTCTCTGCAGGTAAATTATTTGTCTGAGATCCCAAGTCCGGTAAATGATGGAACTGACTGGGAGGCACCAGGTGCTGCAGGGAGTTGCTCAGGTATATTATTTATGCACAGCATGAGCCAGAACCCAGGACACAGAGGGTGTGGTCACAGACAGCCAGGGAAGGCTGACTCTATCATGCTACCTGGGTATCTTGGCAGATGGATGGTGGTGAACTAAGATCCAGGGTCTTGCAGAAATCAGAAATGGAAATGGGTGGGAAGGGGAGTGTTGGCAGGCTCGTCAGGGGGAAGCAGTTCTCAGTTCTGTGCATGGGTTCAAAGTCAGATTTCGATCCTGGAGATCCAAGCCAGCAGGGGTCAGCATTTTCCCAGTCACAGAGCATCAGGGGGTATTAGGCAGCTTATCAAGAGGCGGATTAGTTTGTCAAAATGAGCAATATAGTGCAGACTAGTCTTGGTAACTTGGATTAGCCCAGTGGTCAGAGCAAGAGTAGCAAGAAGAAGACTTAACAAGTGAGTTGCGCTGGGCCACAACTCTTTAGATATTTACTGTTTTAGACTACAGAGTGAATGATGTCACTTAGAGCTATGCACAGTCTACGTAATCACACATGGCAGGGTTATGTCTAAAGCTGCAATTGGTTCTTGGAGAGAGGGCACAGGTAATCTTCTGTTGGGAAATGTCTGCAGATGTTGGGAATAGAAGGAAGTAGGAGCTGCCTAAAGATTTAGGACAGGGGCAATCCAATAAGAAGGGGCAGATTTTGGGCAACTTTCATTGCAACACCATAATTCCTTGCCTCCAACCATTGCATCTGTTACAGAATGGGGCTTAGCGTAGATGCTCAATAAAAGATCACTGTGACGGGGGCTGGGGATTTAGCTCAGTGGTTTTGCCGCCTGCTGTGCAAGCGCAAGGACCTGAGTTCAATCCCCGGCACCAAAAAAAAAAAAAAGATCACTGTGACAGACAGTCTCACAGATATTTTTATCTCATGTTACCATCTCATATTTTTTTGTCAACTCTCTGCTTCTAATCCCAGTAAGAAACTTGCACAAGTGTTTTAAAAGTTGAAGAAAGGTGATACTGTTTTAGTTTAGTTTTTAGCTTTTTTAAAAGATGTAACAGCTGATTGTATAAATTAGAATTATTTATTGTATAAACATGGGGTCCAACATGACATTTTTAACCATCATATGAACAATCATTGGCAAGTTGGATAATATAGAAAATATTTTTTCCACAGGCTAGTTAAGTCAGTCAAGTTGGTGATGCCTGTCCATTAACCATTTATGTCTTATTAATAAAATTACAATAAAATTAGAAAAAAAATAAAAGGTCATTAGACTAATACAACTACAGACCGAAATGACTCTTTTAAATACCTTTATCCTTCTCATCTCAAAAATTGCCTTCAAGGATAGAAACCCTACTTTCTTTTTAACCCAGTACCAAAAAGAGAGGGGGGTATGAGTTTGGCATTTCCCTTTTTGTTCTACCCAGTTTTAAGCACTTTTTAGTCTCTTAGCAATTCATTGTGGAGTGGGTGGACCTGAGCTCTGCTTTTTACCTCTGATTCATGAAACTACCTTGTGATGTGGTTTTAAGATATTTTTTCAGATTTTGATGAAAGCTAAACACAAGTTTTTCATATAAGAAAGATATACCATAATTTTTGCATATAACTTTTTGGTTTTAGTGAATTTATGTTGCCCCAAAACTAGGTATCACTTCTTAAAACCACTAATAGAGATTGTTACAGTGATCTCAATAAAGTAATACTTTTCCTTCCCATGTGGAATTAATTGCAATACCTGCTTTTCCATTTGAATTTTTTTCTTCTTTCACTGCTGGGGATGGAACCCAGGGCCTCCTGCGTGCTAGGCAAGTGGTCTGTCACTAAGCTACATCTCTGGGCCTTTAAACGTTTTTTATTTTGAGACAGGGTTTCACTAAGTTGCCCAGGCTGGCCTCAAACTTGTGATGCTCTTGTCTCAGACTTTTGAACAGCTGGGACTACAGGTGTGCATCACCATACCTGGCTGAATAATATTTCATTGTTTTCATTTTTCAGTACTGGGGATTAAAACCAGGGCACTCTTTTGAAACAGAGCCTCACTAAGTTGCTAAGTTGCCCAGAATGGGTTCGAACATACAATCCTCCTGCCTCAGCCTCCCAGAGTGCTGAGATTGTAAGTGTGTGCCAACATGCCTGGCTGAATAATATTTTAAGATATTATTTTAAAATAATGGTTAAACCTACTAATATAAATTGTTTTGATTTCTATACAAGGATATTCTGCTTCTTTCTATATGGGATCACTTGTATCTGCTTTTCTGTTTGAAACATGTACAAACACATGGTTTTGTTTGTTTGTTTCTGGTGCTGGAGATGGAACCCGCGACCTGACACGTGAGCACGTGCTCTCCCTTGTGTCACACCTGCAGCCCTGAATTTGACATGATGGTGTGGTTACTTGGGTGCTCAGAAGAGTCACTCCACATCCCTGGAAACAGATTGCCTGAGGATTTTCCAGTTTATTTAACGAAAATGTCAGAGCTAGTATCAAATGGAAATTTTTTTTCTCCCTGAGTGCCTATCTGTCTCTCTTTCTTTTTCTTTTCTTCTTACAGTGCTGGGGATCTAACCCAGGACTTCACATACGTTAGACAGGAGCTTTGCCACTGAGCTACACCCCCAACACCTCCCCTGTCTTCTAACATCTTCCTATCAAATCATCTTTTGTTTCCCCAGGAGAGAAATCCCTAATAAATGCTTTTCTCCTGATGAACAATTACCTCTATCCCATTCAAATCCAAAATAACCTTTCCTCTCCTCCAGTAGGTTATTCTCTTGATCCTGACATCTTGACCCTTTGAGATAGGATTTATTTACATGCAGTGTGAGGAAAAAGTCTAAAGGAGAGGACAAGGAACAAATCTGCTTTGGTGGAATTTAGGCTGCACTTGCTTCCCTTGTATCATATAGGAATAGTAAATAAAGCAACAATAATACTTAAAGAGCCCCTTGCTGGGGATGGTGGTACACACCTGTAATGCTTGCTGTCTGGAGGGTTGAGGCAAGAGGATTGCAAGTTGAAGCCCACCCTGGGCAACTCAGGGAGTTAGTGAGATGCTGTCTCAAAAGTAAATGAGCTGGGGATGTAACTTAGTGCGAAGGCCGTGGGTTCCATCCCTAGCACCAAAAAACAAAAATAAAATCTTACACACAAAGTGCTTCTGTGTACAAACAGCTTTGCCTCATAGATATAATTCTTCCAGGAGTCCTACTTGTGGGACAGCCTAGCCCTGATATTAGTAAAATACCTTCTGAGAGGATCTTGGACTTCTGGCTTTTTGGACTAGAGATGGATTTGTCCTTTCTTAGGAAGTCATCAGTTTGTCAAGAAGCTGAAAAGAATCAAGGGGAGAGAGTATAAGTCAGTCTGCAGGTATAGTGCATGTGAGAGGTGTCGATCTTGGCTGCTTTTGCCATATACCTGCTGACCTGGCATGCCAGGATACGAAACCATTTCCCTTCTGAGTGTCTCCTGTGCACATCTAACCTGGGCGGGTTTATTTTGGGGTGACAGGAAAGGGGTAGGAATGCAAGTTTGAAAACTGGAAAAGACAAACCCAAACTGGTCGCGTTTTATCCTGACAGAATGCATAGCTGGGGTCCTTTTGGTCGTAGAGGAAGTGAGGGGAGGATGGGTGGGGCGTGGTGTTTGTACATAGGTCTGCACATGCATACAAATGTGACTGGTATGATAGGACTTGGGACGGTACCAGGGGACAGAGAAGACTAAAGGCAGGGATTTCTGGAGGTCAGGGATTCAGTCTGGGTCCCACCTCTGTGGCTGACATCTGCTGTAGCATGCAACCCCAGGTAGGGTCCTCGGTAAACATCCCCAGAGCTTGGTTGAACTCCTCCCTCACACAGCCACATCCCAGTGCTCAGGCCTCTTGATCTTCCTGCCTTCGTCACAGAGCTGCTGGTGCCCCCTTCTGGGGGAAATGCTTTCACTGTGCAGCATTGTCCTGTGTATTTGTCGAGCTTGGTTTTTCAAGGACCTGCAACTCTGGAGGCCTGAAGTAGCTTGTGCTTTGAGAAAAGTGCTGTATCTGGAGATAAAATATGTGATCATACAGAAGGATCTGGTTTTAATGGAATTGAAAGTGAGATTATTCTGTTTAGATAGTTATACAGTGGAAAGATGATGACATTGAAAGCAAGAACTTGAATCCAGACCAGCCATAAACCATGTGCTTTGGCCTTTTGGGCTCCGTTTCCTTTCTGTAAAACCAGGAGGTTAGACTAGACCCATTGTTTTCTGGGTGGCATGAGGGGCGTCAACAGAATGAGGCACTGAGCCGCTGCTCTTCCTCAGACCAGCTGAGGAGCTCTTTGAGCTATTTTATTTATTGACTGTCAAATAAGATACTGCAGGAAAAAATGTCCTCAAAAGTCTGCAAGCCACTGGACTAGATGATTTCCAAGATCCCTTCCAACTCTAATGTTGTGATTTTATGCACTCAAAGTTGAGTCAGAAACTTGAAAGCTGAAATCACAGTGCCAAAAATGTCTCTCTGTAAGTGCTGTGGATGTTTTGCAGGCGGACAGTCCAGAGGACATGCATAGCTGGATTAAGGAGATTGGGGCAGCTGTCCAGGCCCTCAAGTGCCACCCCAGAGTAAGTCACTTCCTTCTTGTGCTGAGTGTTGATTGAGAGATAAATCCTTCTTGAATGGGCGTGTTTTATTTGGTGTTATAGGCAAGCAGCCCAGGATTTACATGCAGCTGAAGCCACAGGCTGAGTTGTTTGTTTTTCTCTTTCTACTAATTTGGGTCCAAATTTTTCTTTTTGTTTTTTTTAGTTGATGGAGGAGGTGAGGTGGGGTTGGACAGAGACATGGAGTTTCTGATGTGTCTTACAAGTCTCATTGCCAAGCAGACCCTGACTCATATGGAGTGAATTCTGTTGAACTTTTTATTTATTTTTGAGACAGGGTCACACTGTGTTGCCCAGGTACACAGGGATCCTTCTGTCTTAGCCTCCTGAGTAGCACATGCCACCATGCCTGGCTTTGCTGAAAACATTTGATTTTTGTAGATAGCAATCTCTGAACCTGTGAGGTAGTGATACTGGGTGAGTACTCTTCCTGGGACTTTGAGAAAACATTGTCCTTTACTTCCCTTTGTCTTTCATCTTTTTTATGTTTCTAGGAAGTATCTTTTTCTAGATCCATTTCTTTGACTCGACCTGGAAGCTCCAGCCTCACAGGTGGGCCTAACTCTGTCTTGTGCCGAAGGCGGCCACCTGCAGAAGAAAAGAAAGCCCTCTGCAAAGCTCCCTCGATGGTCTCCTCCTGGCAGCCTTGGACACCTGTCCCCCAGACTGGGGAAAAGCTGCTGGCAGCGGAAGAGACTGCAGAGGACTCTCTGTTCACTGCCCGTCTAGGGGAGAGAAGCATTGCTGGGATGCTGCCAAGCTCCCGGGTCAGGCACAGATCGGAGCCCCAGCAACCCAAGGAGAAACCATTTCTGTTCAATCTTGATGACGAAAACATAAGGACTTCTGATGTGTGACGAGGGGCAGCATGTGGGATGGGAGGGAGGAGAGAGGGAGGACTGGACAGAGGTGGCTGAGACTCAGTTTCTCTTCCTCACTGCATGTTGGATGCCTTTGTGGCACTCTATTCCTGTGGCTGTCCATGGGAGGGTCCATGCGGCTGGCTTTTTTAATATTATCAATGGGAAGATCACTAGGTTAGACCTGTGGGGCATACTCAGGCAGAGAGTGTGTTGCCTCTTGCTGAAGTATCCCAAGGTCTTTCTGGTGGGGTGTTGGTTTAGCATCTCCTCTCTACAAGCGATGTGGACTCCAGTTGTAACCCTAGCCAAATTTATTTCCTTGTCCTTGTTTTAGTTGCTTCATTTTGTTTGAATCCATTCACAGGATCCTAGGCCAGTCACCTAGTTTATCCTATTCCTGTTAATTGGTTGAAGTTTGTGAAGCAGGAAGGTACAACCCAGCTGAAAGGAGTCGGGGGTGGGGGGTGCCCAGGCTGCAGCTGGACTGAGGTCCACCCCAGGAGGTAGTTGAAATGAGGGGGGGCGCGGTGCTGGAGGGCTGCCCTCAAGGGTCTGCCAAGATGGACGCCCCAGGAGACTCCCAGGGAAAGAGATGGGTGTCTTTTGTGAGGTATAGGGAATAATTCAATGCCAGTGCATCAGCCAGTTTTGGAAATTACTCTGTTCTCCTTTTGATGCTCTGTGAGCCCTAGTGCTGTAGCAGTAGGTGACAGACCGACCCATCCAGTGGCTGTTTCTGGCCTTGTGGGTGGGCTTATCAGTGTTAAGTGCTATAACTGTTGAGAATGTAACAGACATTTCCCTTGATATGGTGAGATTTGAAATGTGTGGAGGGCTGGTAAGAGTGTGATAATTTGCGTGTGTGATAGAATGATCTCTATCTCAGTTTTAGAATAGCTTTAAGGAGGTGCTGAGAAGAGATAGATGATAGTTTATCCTGCTAAGCTTTCTTGATCCATGTTTTCCAGACAGGAAAAAAAGTTCTGGTCTTTTTGAGTGGACCATTTGCCTGATATTAAGTGTTATGTATCATATACCCTGGCAGATTTGCTTTCTTTTTATCCTTTGTGTTGCTTGTTGAATGCAGCTATGTGTGGGTGCATGATCAAACCGTGTACTTAACGGTGGGGAGATACAAAGATAATCTTGAGATATTTATATTCTTTAGTGGAATAGAAACTGGGTATAAAAACATTGATTTAAAGGTTCTGCTAATGAGAGGTGTCCCAGGTAGAAGAGCATAGGAGATTGAATTTCCTATCCATATTCCCTTTGGACAAGGTACAATTTCTAGTGCTCTAGGGAGTATTTATCTACCCAGCTTCTGCAGTGAATTGCTACCAGAAACTTTCGAGAGCTTCCTACAGGGAGAGAGAACTTAGGTGATTACTACTTGTAATTTTTATTTCTTAGATCAATTAATTATATTTTAAAATAAAAAATTAGCAACTAGAGGAAGAGACAAAAGCATTTGTACCTAAGTAAATCCCTGCTCCTTCTGTGTCCACATCTGATCCAGAGGTGAAAATTCTTGATGAAACAGTCATTAGTGTTGCAGGGAAACATGTTTCTCCTGGCCCGGGTGGCTATGTTTTTTTTTTTCCTGTATTAAATTCTTTTATTGGTACATTGTAGGTATACAACACAATTACATTTCTCATTGGGAATTGTACCTTTATATAATGCATCTTGGTTCTTATTTTTTCCCCATTCCCAGCCCTCCCTTCACGCCCTCCACCCTTCCCTATTTACAAAGCCGGGTGGCTATCTTGAAATGTGGGTCATGCAAGGCTTTTTCTGCTTCACTGCATGGGTACACTCCTTCACTTCAGTTAAGTTTGGCCTGTGGTCCTAGTCTAAAAAAGAAAGTCTATAGGTTCTCTCCCTCTTTCTCTCTCCATTTTTCCTCTTTAAAAAATAAACTCGAAGGGCTGGGGATTTAGCTCAGTGGTTCTGTTGCCTGCCTCGCAAGCGCAAGGTCCCGAGTTCGATCGCTGGTACCAAAAACAAAACAAAATGAAAAACAATTAAAAAATAAACTCGTATGTACTTTTGTCCTCAGAAATTCTCAGTTTGAGAATTATTTATTTATGAACAATCAAGGTTACAACTTACTTTAAGTAATCTGATCTTAAGAAGCCATTCCAAATTCCTAAAGCCCTTTGTCTCTGGTTGCACCTTCCTATTTTTCTCCCCACCAACTTCCTGAGTTTTTCAACAGAAATGCACATCATGCGACATGGATGTGATGAAAAAAAATGAGACGCTTTTGAATTCTCTTTAAACATTCCCTGACTCATGGAAATGATGTCATCTCTTTGTGTTTAAATTGTGAAGATCTCTGTCTCTCTCTGACTCTTGTCTCTCTCTCTCAAATAAACTGTGCTATATACTACTGCTAATTAATTGGCTATTACAGTAAGCTGATAGATTTCTTATTCAGTAAGGTCTATTTTGAGAGTATGTTAACATAATCCAGTCTGTTTTAATGAAGGAGAAACAAGGACTCTTAACGAGCATAAACTTGGACACTCCAAGGTGGAACATAGTTAATATAGTTCTAATATCAGAAAACTGTGTTTATCTTTTTTGAAGCCTAAAAACATTCACATTCCAAATCTTATCTCAGAATTCCTTTTCTGTCCATATTTCTTAACCTTCTGACCAATTTTAAACCACTGTCTTTTAATGTGAGCCAAAGATGGTGCACAGATAACTGAAGCATTTGGTTTTAATTGTGTGAAATGGAACCAGGTGGAAAAAATTAGAAAATAAAATAGGGATACAGGATAGGTGAATGGCTAAGCACATAGGTTCTGGAATAAATCCTAGTTAAAAAAAAAAAAGGAACTAAAAAAGATACTGCATTTTCTTTAGGGAATGAAAACCTTGGGCAGGGGATTTAGCTCAGTGGTTCCAGCACCTGCCTGGCAATGCAAGGTCCTGAGTTTGATCCCCGGTACAAAAAAAAAAAAAAAAAATCCAATGGGCTGGGGATTTAGCTCAGTGGTTCTGTCACCTGCTTCGCAAGCGCAAGGTCCACAAACCCGAAGTGCAGCAGTATTCCAGGTGGTCTTCTCCATAGTGGAACGACTTACCATCTATTATTCTGGAAACCTGACAGACTTGCTTACTCAAGGTCAAGTGATGGTTGGGGAAGATAGTTTGCCTTTTGCTTTCTATGAGACGTAAAGGGTAAGGAGGTGCACACCCTGGATAGTGGCCTCAGGTCACAGTAGTGGAATCACTCCTCTGTGTCTGACTAAAATCCTGAGCTCCTGTGAGAAGGGTAGAGTTAAGGTCCACTTTGTAAGTTTACTAGGAGCAAAATAATTTTTTTCTTTTCTGACTAAAATGACCTGATAAGTAATTAGTTGAGCAATGGAATTTGATAGGTTTGTTTTCATTGTTAACCAGATAAACAGGCATATGGAAGCGTTAACAGCATTTTGGAAATTAAGTTTCCCAAATCAGTTTTGTTTATTAACTTTGAACATGTCAGAAATGGGCGTGTTTATTAAATATTTTCTACCAACATCTCTTTTTTTCCTCCTTAGACCTGTTTTTTCTGTTATGGCTTGCAGCACTTACAGGCACTCATGCTAGGTAGAGTCTGAATAAAGCAAATGTTCTGCAAAAACATACTATTTGAGCCCTTCCCCATCGCTTGCGAAGGTTTTGAATCAGTAGGTCTCAGCTGTGAAGCACCCTCGCTTTGAGTCCCGAGCTGAGTGCATGGAATCGTACAGTATGCTTCTCATTTTTCTGTGATCTGCTAATTGGTATGTAGCAAAAATAATTTTCTAAAACTGTTTTGTCGCTTGTTTTGTAATAAAACCAGTACTGAAATATGGTTGTGTTTCCTAATGTGACCTCCTGGCTGTGGGTGGTTGGCAGCCCCTGCCACTCTGTCCCGTTACTGGTTTTATGGCTTTTCACGAGGTAGGGACAGGGCTAGGGACCTCCCTGTTGAGGGAGGCCTGGGCCTGGGCAGGACCGGCGCTGGGGGAGGCACGGGTGTGTGTATGATGTCCGACAGGCTCTCCCCTTAAAAGTCTGGGGCTGGCACCCGGGCCAGAAAGAAGTGCTGCTCATTTTATACCAGTCGTGAGCTCAGTGAAGTAACTGGAAAAGCAGCAAAGGCAAGGAGCAAGATGAGACCTCGGCAGCAGGGCGCTGGGCTCGTGCCCGGGCTCGGGCTCGGACTCGGACGAGTCCTCCTGTTCTGGCTGCTGCTGCCCGCGGCGCCCGTGCCCAGGATCCAGGCCCGGAGGTCCAAGGCCTCGATGCCCTGCCCCGACGCGTGCGAGCCGACGCGCTGCCCCCCACTGCCGACCTGCTCGGCGGGTGCCGCGCCGGTGCTCGACCGCTGTCGGTGCTGCCGCGTGTGCCCCGCGGCGGAGGGCGACGCCTGCGTCAGGGCTCGGGGCCGGCCGTGCGCCGCGGGGCTGCGGTGCCTCCCAGCATCTGGGCACGAGCGCGGGCATGGCATCTGCGGCTGCTCCGTGGAGGGCGCGGCCGTGTGCGGGAGCAACGGTCGCACCTACCCCAGCCTGTGCGCGCTCCGGGCGGAGAACCGCGCCGCGCGCGTCCAGGGCGCGCTCCCGGCCGTGCCTGTGCAGAAAGGTGCCTGCGGCGACCCAGGTGAGTAGGGCCCGCGTGCCGTGGGGACCCTTCCCGGGGAGCCAGGGCGGGCCTTGCGTGTTTCCATGGCCGGGCTCCTCCCTGCTTCTTTTGCCCCAGATGCAGCCCTTCAGTTGTGCTGTTCTTGGTTTTCTTTCTTCCTAACAAGTGTCCTTTACCGGCTGCTGCGCGGTTTCTCCTCATTCAGTTTTCATTACTTTTTTGTATATTTGATACACTTTATTATGGGCCAAATACTTCCTACGTGCATTTACTTTATTTTTATTAGTATATGTTTGTGATACATAATAATTATATTTATCTTGGGGAAAAATATATATCACCAGATCCTATTCATCTTTTGAATACCATCTTCTTTTTTAAATTATTTTCAACTGGCCTGACAGGCCTGATCCTCTGAAAGACTATGGGAGCCTGATGGGAGAAGGAGAGGGAAAGAGGAGAGGAAAGGGGGGAGAAGTGAGTTCGAGGTCCAAGACTGACACCTACTGTGGTCTGAGGGAGGCTGCCTGCCCCAAGCTCGGAGGTTTCTTCACAGGCACCCAAAGCGCAGGCTGGCTCCGGAGCAACTACAACTTCATCGCTATGGTGGTGGAGAAGGTGGCGCCTGCTGTGGTTCACTTGCAGCTGTTCCGCAGGTAAAGTAACAGGAGGAAGACTACCCCAGCTGGAGACTTGTGAGGTAGGCCTCACTCATCTGCTCCAGGCCCTTTGCAAGCATCATTGAATCTTCAAATCCCTAAAGGCCTCTGTGAAGAGATCCCAGGCTCAAAGAGATTTTGGGGATGTAGTTCAGTGCACATCTGAACAGTGGTAGCTCAGTTGATCCCCAGAACTGATGGGAGGAAAGTCTGTGTAAAGTGCTTTAGAGAGCAAAGGCACAGAGCCAGGGATTTAGCTCAGTGGTGCCGCACTTGCCTCGAAAGAGCAAGGTCCTGAGTTTGATCCTGGGTACAAAAAAAAAAAAAAAAAGCAGAGGCACAAAAGGTTCTGGCTTCCAAATCTGAGTTGCTCCTGTGCACTTAGTTGGCTGGGGCTTCTTTCACCTTCATTTGTCACAGATAAAATTGAAGGCCAGATGTAGGAGCTAGCAGGCATCTTGGTGATCCTGCCCAGCTCCATTCCTGGTTTTCATGCAAGGAGATCCAGACCCAAAGAGTAGGATTGATTTTCCTGTGTCAGAGTGTCGGTTGATAGTGGAAACTAGGTCAGAACCAGACCCCTCTGCCTCCCTCCCTCCCTGGGTCCTCGATTTGGTGGTGCTAGACCCACTTTTACTCAGAGTATTGGGATTAGGGTTGGCCTCTTTGTAGCAGAGGACTCAAAGATTGCTGTACCGAGCAGCTCTGGAAGAGGAGAGGTGGAGCCCTCGTGGGAGAAGGTCAGGGCAAGGCACATGTGGTTCATTTGTACATGGAGATGCTGAAAACTCAGACAGGGAAAGTACTGTACAATGTCTGAGAGAGGTGTAAGGAGGCTATGTTTACTCCATGTGAGGCCTCATGATTCACAGGCAGAGAAACCCCTACTATTTGTACTGTTGTCTTCTGGAGACAGGTCACACCTCGGCAGCAAGGACATCCTTGCATCCAGTGGCTCTGGGTTCATAGTGTCTGAGGATGGGCTCATTGTTACCAATGCACATGTGCTCACCAACCAGCAGCGGATCCAGGTGGAGCTCCAGAGTGGGGTCCAGTATGCAGCCACGGTCAAGGACATTGACCATAAATTGGATCTTGCACTAATTAAGATTGAACCAAATGTGAGTTTCTTGGGGCTTAATTACAATCTTATTGAGGATTTTCATGTTTGATGATCTTTCACACTCCACACCCACACCAGGTCTTTTCTATCGAGTATATACTTTGTTCTGGTTTCTTTCTCTCCTTTGTTTTCTTCCATGCCTGTTTGTATATCCCTGACAATTCTCCTCTTCCTTCTTCCCCTCTTTCTTCCTCTCCCCTTCTCCCTCCTTGTTCTCTTCTCCTTCAGCAGATGCCACTTCTGGGAAAAATCATTTCTCTGCTTAAGATAGCAGAAATTACTGCAGTGGGCTCAGAGCTGCTGAAGAACACTTTGAGGTCCTTGCTACACCAAGTGTGAGCTGCACACCAGCAGGATGGATATGTCATCTGAGAGCTTTTTAGAAATATAGAACCTCAGACTCCATCCAGACCTAGTGACTCAAATCCGCATTTTGATAAGATCCTGATGTTTCATGTGCACATTACAGTTTAAGAAATGCTGCTCTAGCTGATCTCCTTCCTGTTTGTGGCTTCTTCACTTTGTAAACTTTTGAGCTACGGTATTAAGTGAATTGCTAATGTCAATTTAGCATCATCAGTTACTTCATTGGTGGTTTACTAATAGTAATTTCTATGAAGTAACAATTTTCAATCTTAGAGATGGTCTTAATCATCTTAGCAAGTGAGAGCTCGGTGGTAGTTGGACTTTGAGGAAGAAGCAGTAGATCGAGTGTGTGTGTGGGGTTGGTACTTCTTATTAAGTGCTGAAATGATAAGAGATAGTGTCATACATTTGTTACATACAAATATTCTGTTTATTTGGTCTTCACTTTTTTCTTTATCCTTTCTGTCCTCCTCACTCTTCCTTGCCCTTGTGTAGATTGACCTTCCTGTTCTGTTGCTGGGAAGATCATCTGATCTTCGGGCTGGAGAGTTCGTGGTGGCCTTGGGCAGCCCATTTTCTCTGCAGAACACAGTGACTGCAGGGATCGTCAGTACCACTCAGCGAGGGGGCAAAGAGCTGGGGCTGAAGGATTCAGACATAGACTATATCCAGACTGATGCCATCATTAATGGAAGTCACTGAGGAGGTCTGTCCTCAGCCCAAAGATACTTGTAGTGTACAGTGAGGAGGAAACTTTCTTTTGGCCTTTGTGCAGGTCTAAAGGGCAGTTAGATCCCTATGAGAAGAATGGATGCCACATTGTTCAAGTTGAGACTGTTTGATGTGAATGTTGCCATCTTTACTTTTGGATGGTCTCTCAGTGTCTTATCATAGAGGTCACCACTACTGTACAATGTAGGGTCCTTTTGCAGTTGGTCTTTATCTACGCTGACTTCAGTATTGGTGATGATGAGTGGCAACATTTTGTCTGCCTTGGGGGAAGAACAGCTCACTAGAACAGGCTGGTTCTGGTAAAGCTTAGTGGAAACTATATATAAATGACATGGAGGACTATATTCATTGGCTTTACTGATGGCTTTTTCAACTTGTGTCTTTAGCACGGGAATTCTGGGGGGCCTCTGGTGAACTTGGTAAGTAGCCATTTTCCTTCCTGCTTCAGGTTTCTTCCTAACTTTCAAAGATTTTCCAAATTCTATACTACAAACATGGATACTCTCCTTGTTAGAGAGTTGTGAAATGAAACTTTCCTATTCTAGGATCTTAAGTAAATGGTTAGGGAAAAAGTCAAGATCTATGATCAACTTGGGCCAGGGATTTAGCTCAGTGGCTTGACCACCTGCCTCGCAAATGCAAGGACCAAGTTTGATTCCTGGTACCAAAAAAAAAAAAGATCTATGATCAACTTATCATCCCAGTGTGTGATCTCATCTGAGAACACCAGGGTTCTGGCCCTGGCTTACTTCAAAGTTTTCCTCAGCAACGTGGTTTTTGTTTTTATTGAGTGGTTACCAAAAGCCCTAAATATTAAGCCCAGATTTATACCAAATGACCAAGTGTTCTATGTAATGTATATCCTTGAAGATCCCTTGCGGCTGTGTATGAAGAGCCATTCCTCATATAAGAATGCTTCTTATTTAATGAGGACTATCCATGCTTTCAGTCTTGACCTACTTATAGATGACAGAAAATCACAACCAGAATCCATTGTTCTGTCATGTATTTTTTTAATTTTTAAAAATTTAAGAATATTTACTAATTTTTATTAGTACATGCTTGCAATACATACAATTACATTCATCGTGGGGAGTTGGTACATAATACATGTTTCATCTATTTTATGCAGCATCTGTAGTGGAAATGTCAGGGTTTCTAGTTGCTCAAATACATGTGAAAGCATAGAAAAGTGCAGTGCTGTTTGACTCCTGCTTTCTGTGTCCCTTGGAACTGATGATTTTGTTTTTTCTATAAATATTATTATTATTATTATTTGCAGTACTGGAGCTTGAACCCAGGGCCTTGTGATTGCTAGGCAGGGACTCTACCACTGAGCCACATCTCTAGCCCTTTTTATTTTATTTTGAAACAAGATCTTGCTAAATTCCCCTGGCTGGTTTCAAACTTTCAGTCCTCTTGCCTTAGCCTCTTATGTAGCTGAGATTACAGGCATGTGCCCTGACTCCTGGCTACATTTGCTTTTAAGAAGATTAACAATCTGTGAAATTATTAAGTGCATTTTGTTAATAATATTTCAAACAATTTTTTGTGGCCACCTTCTCAGTTAGACAGTGAGTTCACCAAGAGCAGGGATGAAATGCAGACTTTCAAGCCACAGTCCAGACATGCTGCATTATAATGTATGTCTCAACATGATCAGAATCTCTTATTTACCCTTGCCACTACCTAATTAAAGCTAAAGGATGATGAAGTGCATGAGAAGAAAAGCATTTTCTACCTCATAGCATTAGCTTGGCAGACCTTTGTTCCCTCAGGTCACTTTTGCTAATTTTCTTGAATACTTTCATTGAAGTGTTGCTAAAAATCTAACAGCTTTTTGTCTTTTCTGTGTTTCATTTAAGCAACAAAAAGTCAAATGTTCCTCGTCCTCTTATTTGTATTAAAATACAAACTGTGGCTTACTTGTAAAAATCAATAGAATTTACTGGAGGAAAAAATGAGTTACAGATTAAAAAAAATTTCTCAGCATCCTGGCCCTGGAAAAAAGATAACTTTGCATGTGTACCATTCTCCTCTCTTTCTCCTTTATCCCAGCACACTAATCATCTGGTAAAGTAACATCCGTGCTCTCTATTGAAGAAGCCCTTGTTTTCTGACCCAAAATGATGAGCTCCACTCCTTCCTCTGCTTGTTCTGCTGTTGCACTGTTCAGTTTGCAAAGCTTCATGACTGAATGATGTTTCCTCCCTCACCAGGATGGTGATGTGATTGGCATAAACACACTGAAGGTGACCGCAGGAATCTCCTTTGCAATTCCCTCAGATCGAATTCGCCAGTTCTTGGCAGAATACCATGAGCGCCAGTTGAAAGGTGAAGGGAGCTGGGGGGTTTTTGGTCCCCTCTTGTATTGCTCAGGAGCACTCTATCTCTTTTTTTTTCTTTATCATCATCTTTTACTTTATGCTTATATCTGTAACCAGAGTGCATAAAGTACTGAATCTGTCTTGATTGATTTCCTTTAAAACACTTGATTTTGTTCAGAAGCTCACCAAATGTTCTCTGTGGCCATGTGATGCTGTGACACTCCCCTCATGTCCCAGTTTTCCATCTGGATCTATATTCTATTTGGCAACTGCTGTCTGTAGTAGAAGCAACCTCAGCAGCATCTACAGGGAGGGTAAACTTTACATCTTTGTCAGGAATAACCACTTCTTGTTTTTACGTGTGATATTCTTCTTAACAATCATCAAATTTGCTGTTTATTTTTCTGGTACAAATATTCATTATTGACTCATCCTTTCTGTTCCTTTATAACCTGTAATCTTAGCACTCTGGAGGCTGAGGCAGGAGGATCACTGCGAGTTGGAGGCCAGCCTGGGCTCCATAGTGAATTCAAGCCCAGCCTGAACATTTTGGCTTCTGTTTCTGGCTCATTGCCACTCTCTTCTATGGCAGAGACCCTTGATTACAGCAAACTCCTCTTCTTTGTCTCTGTGTCACTAATTCTCTTCCCCAGTTCTGTCATTCCATCTCATTAAACAAACTGAATTTCCCACCATCCTAAGGGGCTGCTAGTTGCTAGTAAGATTTTGAAGAAATTAAAGCCTTTCCTCTTGGAGTAGATGAAGTGGATGTGCCAAGTAGTGGAAGTAGGACTTCAGCCCACTTCTTTTGATTCGGAGTGCAGTGATCTTCTGCTTGTAGTGGCTGCCTCCCCATTCAGTGAACCCACAGGATCCTGTGTAGGAGCCCTCTATCTTTTGTGGAGACAGTGGTTTGAATTCTATACAGGATTGGGTCATTGATTCTTAGATTCTATATTGGTTGTTTGAGTGGCCATATGGGGACTGGGCACAAAACCAGGCACGAGAGGTACCCAGAAGTACTTGGATGGGCTAGAGGCAGGAGGTACATTTGTGCTGTTGACAGAGGTTCTATGAAGCATATAATTCATGGCAGACAGCATGCAAGGGCAGCTACAATCACAAAGAGACTCTGGGACTTGGGTGTCTTTTAAGCTGTGCCAAAAGGAAAGAAGTTTTATTGTTAGTCACACATTATTACACTTTTCCTTTCCAGGCAAGGTTCCTTTGCAGAAGAAATATCTGGGTCTGCGAATGCTGCCCCTCTCTTTGAAGTAAGCATGACTTTGATTATGTCTGGGTTGTTTTTCTGAGGCAAGTCATAGCTAGATGATTTGGATAGAAAAGTTAATGCATTTGACTGCAGTGAAGTACTCTTATGACCACGGGCTCTGTTTGTCACAGGATATGTACCTGACTCTGCCTACACCAGCACTCACTGTGTAAGAGCATCTTTCACTGGGGATGCACTATATCATGTCCAGTGGCTGTAGCCTTTAACATAGAGGATCACACTGCACCCAGAGCAAATGATTGTCCTGGGTGCCTGTGCGCCTTGAGCAAAACAGACAGGAGACCAGTAAGAGTTCCAGCTTTTACCAGGGCTCGGGTGATTTCATGTGTGTGTTAACCCTCTTGCTTTTCCTAGCCTTCTTCAAGAAATGAAAAGGCAAGATCCAAATTTCCCTGATATGAGTTCTGGGGTTTTTGTATATGAAGTGATTCAAGGAACAGCTGCTGAGAGGTCAGTGCAGGTTTTTCCAGAGTTCTGTGCTCTTTCTGGATTGTGTGCTGTAGTGAATGATGAAAGTTCTAGACTTGCTCTGTCCATTACCTTGGCCACTGCCTGCACATAGTGTGTACTGAACACCTGAAATCTGGCCAGATTGTCTCAATATCTTAGTTACTTTCTTGTTGCTGGGACATGATACTCGGCACCCACGCCTCAAAGGAGGAGAGATTCATTTTGGCTCACAGTTACAGTCCATGGCTGGGTGACTCTAAGACAGAATTGGCATGGTGAAAGGGTCTGGCAGAGAATAGCAGCTCATGTCATGGCGGCCAGGAAGCTGAGAGGGAGGAGAGAGGACCTGGGGAGGGAGAGATGCCCTTCTGGGTCATGCCCCCAGTGACCTGCCTCTTCTGATCAGGTCCTCTTTCCTAATAGCACATTTATCCGTAGATGCCTGTGAGCTAGTTACCTTTCAAAAGCCCCACCTAAGAGTGCATGAGGCTTGGGGGGACATCTAGGTATAAATTGTGACATTCAGAAACTGAATTTAAAATTTAATTTTAATTGATTGAATGAAAAAACCTCAAAGCAGTGCATAATATTTTCCCATTTCTCTTTTTGTTTTAGAAAGAGTCTTTAACTTTATTTTTTTATTTTTTATTTTTTTTTGGTACCAGGGATGGAACTCGGGTCCTTGCGCTTGCGCAGCAGGCGGCAAAACCACTGAGCTAAATCCCCAGCCCTAGAGTCTTTAACTTTAATCCTTACATTGTGTAAGAGACCATCATTATATAATGCCCTATTGGGCATGTGTTTTTTTCAAATAGATTTCATTTTCAAGTGGACTTGTATAAAACAAAGCATGTAAAATATCTATGGAAAAATTTAAGAATGTTTGTTACATGTTAAAACGAGAATGGCATTCAGTTAAATAAGATACATTATTCAAATTTATTACATCTATTTAAATTTTTTTAAAAGGTGGTATCAGAAAATTTAAAATGTCACATATGGCTTGCATTATATTTCTTTCTTTCCTTTTTTTTTTGGTACCCAATATCAAACTCAGGACCTTGCACTTGCGAGGCAGGTGTGGCACCACTGAGCTAAATCCCTGGCCCTGCTTGCCTTATATTTTTATGGGACAGTGCTGATATGACAATAGTTTAATTTTATTAGGAATTACCACAGTTTTTGTAGTTGTGGGGATTGAACTGAGGGTCTCATACATGCTAGGCAAGTGCTCTCCTGCTGAGCTACATTCCTAGCCCCAAATTTACTTATCTGTCTTAATCACTTTCATGTTGCTGAGACACAATACTAATGCCCACAGTGTAAAAGAGGAGAGATTTGTTTTGGGTCATGGTTTCACTCCATAGTAAGCAGGCTCCAAGGGAGAAACAGAATGGTAGAGGAGCGTGGTGGAGGAAAAGCTCAACTCACGGTGACCTGGAAGCAGAGACAGAAGGGAAGAGGTGGGGCAGAAGATACACTCTTCTAGGTCCTGTCCTCAGGGACCTGTCCCCTCCAACCAGGCCCCACCTCCTGACAGCACGTTTGGCTTTGAACTCATCAGTCGATAGCACCTCCCAAGACTCGGTCCCCTTCTGTAACACATGAGAATTCTGAGGGACATTATATATCTAAAACATAACACTACCCTTTTGATATTAAGTATTTCTTAGTAACTATTAACTCTTACACTATAAGTAATTAATCATTATTAAGTATTAATAGCTGTTAACTTATAGTAAATAAATGAATAGCTTAAAGAGTTAAATAATAAACAGTTAATAAGAATGGGTAGAGTCCAGAGTGTTGTCACCAGGAAGCTGGCTTCTCACTTCTTGGTTGTTGGTTCTTTGTAGCTTTGATGAAAGAATTCAGTTCAGACACATAGGTGGCTAAGCAGAAGTCTAGGTAGTTTATTGCAAAGTAGATGTATAGAGAGTTACATCTTCAGGCAAGAAGATGGGCAACACCATGTAAACATCTGCACTGACTGTGAGTTTGGATGTCTTTTTACATACACAAGAGGTGTCCTTGTGGCCTTTAGGGAATGATGAGGGTTAGGATGCTTATGGACAATTTTCTCAGAGGCTGCTTTGGAATGTCAATATCTCAAAAATGTCTTACTTGTTCTTTTCAGATGGTTAGTGTTCTCTCAGGGGCCGTAATCATGCAAGAAATTTAAGAAAGACATCTAAATCAGATCTTCGTCTAAGGTGGGAAGGTCTTTAAAGAATGGTCCCATTTCTGGGGTCACTGGGGTATAGGTTATGGCAACCAGGTATGCTGTATGCCTTGTTCCAGAAATAGAGGTCATGTATCTTTGGGTCTGAGATTTAAGAAATTATTACAATTGTGTTATACACTGAGGTCATTGTTTCTCCATTTAACTATCTGGCACATCATATTATTTTGGACTCATATTGTCCCTCAGGCCAGCTATTGTCTAAGTATCTGCCTAACACTGTATGTATTGTAGGTCTTTTAAAACACCTTTTACTTTGAGCTCTAGATGACAGTGTCAGAGGACAGTGCTGAGACTTGTGTCATAAAATCAAAGGGCAGAACAGCCCCTGTGGAAGGTTCTCCAGTTGACTTTGCTGTTGTTTTAGAACATTTAATATTAGGGAAGAGGTAGCTTGTCCTATATATATTATTCTCCTTGGTCTTCTACTTCTTCATATCTTTCTTCCACCATTTTTATTTTTCAAGATCTCATAATCTATTTAGACTACAGCAATTCTCATAGGTGGAAAGAAATCATAGGTATCAATTCTTTGGCATGGCTAAGTGTTAGATCTCATGTTAATAAAGTTGGCTTGCTGTGGGCTTTCCTAGACTTTCCTGGTTCTGGCCCTGATTGCTACCCTTACTCCCACCCCTAATTTTTTAACTTCTGGTCAAAGGCCAAAACGACTGCTTTCAGCTAAATTGTTGCTGCTCAAAATATGGTGTGTAATCAGGCCATTAGCATCAGCAGGAGCTGGTGAGAGGGCCAAATCACAGGCCTCACTTTCCATTCACTGAATTAGAATCTGCACCCTGCTTTGTGGTGCTGAGGATCAAACACAGGGGCCTGTACATGCTAAGCTAGCGATCTCCTGCTGAGATACACCCCCAGCTAGAATCTGTGCTTTTAGCAAGATCCCCAGGGCTTTGTAGGTGTTAGAACTGAGAATTACTGCTGGAAGTCACTGACATGTGGACATCCAGCCTTTATGACTTTTACTCACATCTGATGATAATGATAATAACAATAATTGCAGTAGTAACAGCTGGCACTTAGGAAGCATTTACTGTATGTCAAGCACAAGTTAAAGTATTTTATGTACTTGTTTGAGCCCCTGACAGTCTTATGATGTAGGTATAGTTTTATGGGGGGAGCAGCTGTGATATAGAATGGTTAACTTAGAAAGTTACACTGTGGGTCAGAGAAATGTGGACCCTGGCTGAAACCCTCTGTTGTCTCACTTTTCTTGTTTCTGAGAGGCAGAGTGATTTAGTGGCAAAGTGATGAGTTTTCAAGTCTTAAAAGCCAAATCATATCCTACTTTCACCTCTTAAAAGTTGTGTGACCCAGGAAAGGTCATTTATTTCACCTGAGCCTAGTTCTTCATATTTGGTATGTAGTTGGTGTGAAGTAATAACTTGCAGGTTTCTTTCTTGTTCTCTTTTCCTATGCATAGAGCTGCTATGACTTAAGTTCTTTGTGCAGACAGTTCTAAATCATCCTACAAAACTGTCCTTGTTCCCCAAGGCCTTTCCTGAATGCAGCTCTATATTGCTTCTCTTCACATCTGCTTGTTTAAATTTCCTATTTCTTTTTTTTGGTGCTGAGGATTGAACCCAGGGCCTTGTGCATGGTGAGTATACACTCTTATTTCCTTTTTAAATTCCACAAATCTTGGTAATTCTACTACACTGTCATTTGTGTGTGTGTGTGTGTGTGTTTGTGTGTGTGTGTGTGTGCTTTCTGTGCTCCTTAATTAGGTTTCTTCTTGAGTCATTTAATTTGATGACTCTCTTCCAGCATATTTTCACTTTTAAGACAAACCACCAGCCTGGCTATCTGTTTATTACAGAATTTATTATTTGGAATTGCTTTCATTTCTAGAATATATATTGTGTGAAGCAAATATGTTGGAGACTGAATAAAATCACAACTTTTGGAAAAAGGAACCTAGAATCAAAGGTTCAAATATTTAGGCTTGGAAGGTTGAGAGTAGCTTTTTATTTCCTGGAAGGCTGGAAGCAACATTTCTATAATGCAGCTCAGCATATTCTTCAGTTTTTTAAACTGTGGCCCACCCAAATCAAATTGATCAGAGTACAGCTGTAGAGGAAAAATGCACTGGTCAGCCTTTGTACTTTTGCTGGTAAGACTGGGAATGTGCTTGAAGTAGAGAGAGGTCAGAGATGAATAGACTAAGCTAAACTCTCCAGGGCTGGGGATTTAGCCCAGTGATGCTGCCTCCTGCCTCAAAAGTGCAAGGTCCCGAGTTCAATCCCTGGTACCAAAAAAAAAAAAACAAAAAAAAAACTAAGCTCTCCATTCCAAACCAAGTTCAAAATATGGGTGATGTAAATTTCTTATATGATTCTCAAAGGCTATTAATTTTATAAAGGTAAATAGGATTGTTGTCCTCCAGATGATTTTGTAGCATATCTTAGACCAGCTATCATATTTGGATTAAGGTTATGTCTGTTTGTATGTTTAATGCCAGCAAAATAGTATTGCCGTGAGAAAGAGGGATTACATTCTAGGTGGGGAGGAGTAGAACTCTTCTTAGAATTTCATGGTGTTTCATTTTTTCTTCCTTCTCAGCTCTGGGTTGAGAGACCATGATGTAATTGTCAGCATCAATGGGCAGCCTGTTTCCACCACAGCCGATGTCACTGAAGCAGTTAAAGACAGTGATTCCCTTTCCATTATTGTGCGTCGGGGGAGTCAAACCTTGTTTCTGACAGTCATACCTGACATAATCAGTTAAGCATCTTGCTTTAAAAGATATTTAACAAAACCAAAGTTTTATTATCTGATTTGTATTGAAGATGTGCCACAGATGGCAGGGGGTTTCTGGAGCTCTTTCTCATTAAGAAAAATGATGTTTAATTAAATGCACACATGCAGGGCTGGGCATCACGAGGCTGGGGGAGCCACTCTGCTATACAGTAGCCTTTCTAAGCCAAGTGGAAGGACATTATGCCAGGAAGTCTGGGAGTTGATAAAATTTTATTTACAGATAGGAGACAACTAAAAAATAGGCACAGGTTCTAATAAAACCTTGACAGAGACATTTCAGTATTTTAAGCCTTGTCTTATAGCCACAAACTAGATATAACACACACATAGACAAATGCATCTATTTACCAAATACTAAGAAACAACCTGAGTTCAGGGTGCAAAATATTTTAATATTACTCCTTTCTTTAGTCAGTTTTCCAGGTTGTATCACATTTGGCCAAAGTTTGTGGACATAATTTAGAAGTTAAATTGAAACTTAATAATGGGGGATTATCACACAAGAATATTACTAATGACTCTCAAATTATCCCTCTAGCAATAGAAACAACTTTAGTTACCAACAGGGCTTCTAACTGAAAAGATCTACAAAATAGTTTCTTGAAAATTTACAGACTTTTAATTTTTTACTGGAGTTCTTCCTGCAATAATGATTTCACAGTTCATTTTTTTCAAGGAAATAAATATCTTTCTTTCTTTTCTTCTTTCTTCTTTTTTCTGGGTAGTACTAGGGATTGAACTCAGGGGCACTCTACCACTGAGCTACATCCCCAGCTCTTTTTATTTTTTAATTTAAGACAGGGTCTCACTAGGTCACCTGGGCTGGGGCAAATGTGCCATGTTCCTGCCTCAGACTCCAAAGTAGGTGGTATAGGCATGTGCCATGGTGCCTGGTTAACAAAATAACTTTTGATGGTGTTTGCAAACATTTTTAGGGAGTTTTTTTTTTTTAAGTGTGAGGTGAGGCGGATTTATGACTTAAATGTACTATCTTATTGTAGAATTATTAGTTCCTGTTTTTCAAACTCCCCCTAAAAATGAAGTGTTTTTTTGTTTTTTGTGCTGGTCTACAGATCAAACCCAGGGCCTTGTACATACTAGGCAAGAGCTATCTCCCTATGCTAAAACTAAGTTTTATTTTTTTAATATGGTAACTTTGAAGCCCCATTAAATTCTAAGCAGAATTTCATATGCATGTACATTTATCTGAGGAGAGGGTCTAGTTTCTTCACGATCCATAACAACTAAAAATATTAAAAATATTGCCTTAGGGTATAGAGATTATGGATTAAGAATCTGCCAATAAATGCTACTATAAGCAAAGTGAAAGTCAATGTGGTACAGAATTTTTAAGATACAACAAAGTAATCTGTTTTAATTTTTTCCATAATGCTACCTCTAGTAATAGACGAATAGTGATCACACCAGGCTTGATAAACCAGGGTTGATAAACAAGAAACTTTTAGGAAAATGATAGAACATTTTGAGGAAAGTTATTCTGTGATTCTTGGTCTTTAAGTCAGTTATTATGAGAGTAAACTGAGAATTCTACCTTGACTGCTTCTGGATTTTGTAAGTAATTCCCCTTTGTTTTTGTACTGGGGATCGAATCCAGGTGCTTGTATATGCTGAACTACAGCCCCAGCCCCATTATAAATTATTCTGAATAGCAGGCTCTAGGTTTGACTTGTATACAAAATCTATTTTATTTTATATTTAATAGTTCTTTTCAATTTCAATTGCAAAGGATGGGAACTGGGTTTTTAAAACCATGTATAATTGGGAACATTTCTTTTTATTCCCAGGGACTTGGGAGTGCAAAAGCTTAACTGTATCCATTTCTGATTGCTGTAGCCCACTGTAAGAGTTTTTACTGTCATGCTTATTTTGACAGAATGTTTAGTTTTTCCTTACACTCATAAATCACATCCTAATTCTCCTAATATTTTATATCTTTTAAGTAGGAATATGTTTTTCTTTCCAAGGGCATGGCTGTTCTCATTTTATCTTGCCTAATTGTGAAAGGAGTTTTATCATCCTGTAACATGGGCTCCAAAAACTAGAAGACACAGGATTTTTAGATAGGACAATTCTGCTCCTGAGAGAAATAGCTCAACTCGTTCATGTCTGGTACAGCATTCAAACCATAACTGAAATGAAATTACTGGACTGCATATATTGCCTCTGGAACATGTAGAGTTTATTAACAGAGTGGTTCATTTCAGTGAGTAACTTTCAGCAAAACAAATGTAATTTTGAGTTTCACTCTCCCTACAGAAAATACTCATATTGCATTCCACGTTGGCAAAATTTATTCTACAATTTAAATTTAAAAAGTCAGAATTTCAGTATGTTTTAAAATCCATGGCCATGTCTACTTCTGCTAAAATTTTCATTGGCTCAGGTTTGAATTGTCTCTGCATGAAGACAGCATCACAAAAGGCATATGGATAACAATACTTACTTTGCCTATCTTGTTGGGTTCTCTCCTCCAAAGGACTGAAGACCAGCAAAGTACAGAAATAAAGAAGGTGGAAACCTAATCTGCAGTTTATTAAGTTAGTCATTAGCCTTTACATTTTGTACATGAGGAAAGGTGTACAAATTTGATCCCCACAAAACCATTTGCTTGTCATTTCTAGTTCACAAGGTAAGATTTGGATTGAAAATCCATAGTCCAAAGAATTCTTCTTACAAACCCATTCCCTCCAAAGAGAGATATGTTCAGGTCTGATATCGAAGAAGTCTGAGCCCATAGAGATAAGTTCGGAAGACAGAACACTCACTTGTCTCTGTCTGGGTTGTAACAGAAGCTCTTTTTAGTAAATGGTGCACCAGTTGCTGCCGTCACTTGGCATTAGCCCTCCAGTGATAAGCAAAATCAGGTCAACAAACCACCAAATCCCAAGTCCTCCGAGTGTTAACAGCTTCCCAACTGCAGTGCCAGTGTGTCCCAAACAGAAACGATCCACTCCAAAACATCCCAGGAAGAAGGAGTACAGTAAAGTGGTTATGAAATAGTGTCCAGTATACCTGGATAAAAGGAAAGAAAAAGATGTTTATAGGAAAATAAAAACACTTAAAGATTAATGATTTTAATATAAGTGAGAAAATGGTATAACCATTCCTCTGTGGGATCTTACCCTCTGTTTTGGATTCTTTGCTCATACGCTCAGTTGGTGTGGTCATAAAGGCAAGCTAAAAAGAGACTACTCCCCAAAATACCAGTTTATTATACTCATGGGTATTAGAGGCAGGAGGCATGGTCCACTGTGCAGCGACATGTGTGAAGGACACCAGAGTGGTGAGAAGACAAGAATGAGGGGAAAGTTTAGGCCACCGTCTTTATTGGGATTTCTGTAGGAAAGCCAAGGCAGGGCAAGGTAAAGAATTTAGGACTGGCAAGTTTGAGCAATTTCAACAACTTCTAGGCTATATGAGTGGTCCCTAGTTGCCCTGGCCCCTGATCCTGGGACGATCAAGATAGAGGAATATTCTCTCCTAAGGTTACAGGGCAGATTCAGGAAGTATGGGTCTGGATTAGTTTGTGTGCCTATCAAGGCCATGCTTCTGGCTGAGTTCTTTGCTATCTCTAAAGTAGAAAGTTTTTTTTTGGTACCAGGGATTGAACTCGGGTCCTTGTGCTTGCAAGGAAAGCAGTGAAAACATTGAGCTAAATCCCCAGCCCTTTTGTTTTGTTTTTGAGACAGGATCTCCTTATGTAATTCAGGCTGGCCTTAAACTCACTAAGTAACCCAGGCTGGAATTACTCATAGTGGTCCTCCCAACGTGCTGGTATTACAGGTGTGCACCATAGAATGCCCAGCACGCTTTGCTATCTTTAAGAACTGATCAGGCTTGGGAGGGGCAGACTCTCTCCAAGCAGATTTTTTAAGATGTCACACATCATAATTATATAAAACTTTTGCAGAGTTGGACTGGATAAGAAATTACCAAGTATATTTGTGTAACAGATGTTGTGGTGCGAGTGGAGTTTGAGCTCACATCATCCTCTCTACATATGCAGGCTCCTTTCTTGAGGCTTGGCTGGCTGCCTTTGAGTGTCTAAGAAGTATAGTGTTTCCTAACGCGCACCTGATCTCCATACATCTTTCTTGCTGTTTTGTGGCAGCTAAAAGTGAGGACGTACTGAGGCTTCTGTCCTTCATATAATGAAGACATTTAACTGCATTTGCTAATACTGTCACTAAACGTAGCCACTGACCCTTTCCATTTGCTAACAGTGTAAGTAAATTCTGTGCCTTCCAGCATAATTTACAGAAATGACCCTAACCCTTTAACTGAAGATCAACTGATTTCTAGAGTGAGTAATCTTCATTTTTCATAATGAAGTGTTGATTCCTAAAATAGTAAGGCATTTTTCACCGGGTTTATGCCTTTCAGGGTTTGGGAGCTAGGTCATCTGGTATGATTTCTGCACATTGAGGACGAGGTGATAGATTCTGAGTGCTAATAGACACTCAGCTTCTTAGTGAAATAAACAAAGTGTCCTCTACTATAACTCCATCGCCTTTATCAATAGATTATGCACTTAAAAGTCATACCAAAGAATGACAATGAAAATGGCTCTTACCTTCATCCAAGTATCAACTACCTTATTCAAATTAACACTTACTTTGGGCTGGGGGTATAGCTCAGCAGGGCAGCTTGTGCTTAGTAGGCATGAGGCCCTGGGTTTAATTCCATGTACCACCCCCCCCCCCCACACATCCACACACACACAGAAAGAAAAAAATAGCACTTACTTTATACAAGGTCTGTTCTCTCGTAGGAAGGTCCTGTGACTGGCACACTCAATTCCATCTAGGGCTTGACACTGAACAGCAGTGTGTTCCACATCACTGTAGGCCTGGCCACCAAACTGTGGAATAATCACCAAACCCCAAACAAAAAACAAACTCATCAAAGCAAGCAACACAAGAATGCATCTTTAAACTCATTGATAAAGGCTGTTTGAGTACTATATTCTGATAAGGTTGGGTAATGCTTCGCTCAAAGACATAGAGTTCAGTGACATCCAAGGATTTTAGATGAGTCCACCCTAAATGTGCATTGTTTTAAATAAACTTTTTTCTCCATTTATGACTAGACTCTTTATTAATAAAGTAAAAACCCCCATAATCAATTTAATGAAATGGCATTTAGAAGAAATTGACACTGCTTTAATTATATTTACATGAAAAAGCACACAGTGGAGCATTTGAAAAGTCAGTGTGTATTTAAAAAGTCAAGTGTGTAACTGGAAGTCTTTTATATCCATTATAAATAAGCAAAATTAAAGGGAAAGTAAAAAGAATTAAGATGTGTTATGTACATTTGTACCAACTCTCCCCATGCATGTAATCAATTAGGTACTGCAAACATGGTCTAATAAAAATGTAAAAAATTAACAGAATTAACAATATCAACTGACTTAGGACTTTATTTAGGGCATGAACAGGTGAGTATTAGATGTCTATAGTCCATCTACAGTGTAAATTTAAATTCCAGCAAAAATTTTTGAAAAAACCTGGGGCTCTTACCCTTTAACTGAATGTAGCAGAGAAAACACAGCTGTACATTTTTTTACTATAGTACTGTTTTTTTCTTTTTTTGGTACCGGGGATCGAACTCAGGACCTTGCTCTTGCAAGGCAGGAGGTGGAACCACTGAGCTAAATCCCCGGTTCTTTACTACTGTTTTTTTTTTTGGTACCAGGGATCGAACTCAGGTCCTTGCGCTTGTGCAGCAGGCGGCAAAACCACTGAGCTAAATCCCTAGCCCATCCTTTACTACTGTTTTTGTTGGAGCATTCCTCAAAGGGAAGGGACTGGAAAAATAAGGATGATTATTCCCAATACCTCCCCAGTACTGCCAATCCTTAGGACTTCTGGATGAGGTCCTTAACAAGATAAACTTAGTTTTTAATTAAAATGAGCCAAAGTTAAGCCTATACAACGCTAATCAAGCTTTTATCAGTAATTCTCAATAGAACAAAATATCACTGTATTTAAAATGTTTCTTTACATGATTCAGTAAGAGTTGCCTTCTGGCTTTTGTTACTTTCAAGTTTATTCCTGTGTCTGATTTAATACAAAAGATGTTTTCCTATAATTCTCTTGAATTTTTCATTATCATGGTCTGAAGATGATATATGAACTTTGTTGGTGTTTGAGAGACTGACTAGATGTGTACACCTAGATTTAGTGATATTATTAATGGATCTGAATGGCTTCTTTCCATTTCAAGAGGCCATTGTCATCAAAGGTTTTCCTTGACTACCTCCTATAAAGAAGTATCCTGATAGACCCTATCAACTGGCTAAGGACATGGCGGAATCTGCTGAAAATAAACTTGTCAGCAGCAAGAAGAGCTTTGCCCCAAATGTGTCTATAATCAATTTTAGAAAGTGCATAGCCTTTCTTTTGTTCTTCAGGAAAGGGCACACCTTGAAGGATAGGTGACATTTTAGCTTTCAAATCTGTCACTTTCAATGGCCAAAGGAATCAAAGGCAGATTGGTCTTCTCACCCAGCTGGTTTTGGCACAGAAATTGCTTCTTCCTGAGGATATTAAATATCTTGTTCAGGTACTGATCCTGACCATGCTGAAAATTTCCAGTGACAGTCACTTGAGCAGATTTCTACAAAATGCAACTTTGTGGGCTCTTATGTTTTTCTTTAACAACATTTGGTCCTACTATTTCTCTGTGGAAGTTTGCTTTTAGAGCAAAACAAAAAGCTCACCTTGAGGCAACCGTAACCAAGTTCCTGGGATGCAGTTGAATTTCCAACATGATCCACTGGGTCATCACAGACTATAAATTCGTCAGGTCTGAAAATCAGCAGTCAGATCATGATCATCATTATCCTCTTTGAAAACTGCTGTTTAGTTGTACACAGAACAGACAAGAGCCGTTTCTTGACTAAGTTTTCTGGGACTCATTTTCACTCCCTAGACCCTTTTCCAGCCCAGTGGTGGTGTCGATGACCCTGAAGCACAACAGGTCACATTGACAGCCATCCAAATGACCCTTTTGTTGGGAAGGTGTTTCTAGTCCTGTTTCTACTTGGATTCCACTTCTGCCAGAGTTTCCTCTCTTCCTAGGCAAACAACCACAAGGCTATGAGGAGCAACATTTAAGCCAAAGGATTCTCAATGCCGTGCTTTTCCCAAATACTTTTCTTTACTTGATCGAAGCCCCATGTTAAAAATGGCTTGATTCTGCAACAGTATAGCTATTGCTTTTGTAACAAGTCATTTATTCCATTTGTGCCCTACTCAGTACCCGTAGGTTCTTTCAGCCACCGCCTGGCACGCTTCTTCAGAAGCTGTCACACTACATTCGGGACCCCTCAAATCTGCCACGGACACACGAGGCTTTATCCCAAACGAGGGAGACAAATGCGGAACCTATCGTGATGACCACCTGCCCTAGATCGGGTCTCAAGGTGGTGAGGGTCTAAAACCAGGCAGCCTGCGTCTGACCCCCGCTTTCCCACCCTGGCGTGATCCCGGGCCTGGTCTCCACCTCCACCCTCCTCGACGACCGGCGGCTTACAGGTAGGAGCAAAGGATGACTGGAGAGAGGGGGTCGCCGTAGTCCCAGTTCGGAGCACCGGCCAGGACCTCAGGGTGGGCGGCGCCCGGGGACGTGAGCTCCAGGTCAGCAGTAGCGTTGTATGAGTGGCTCCGAGAGACGCAATGCAGCAGAAGAAGATTTCCCAGCAACAAGGCCGCCTGTCCACACAGAAGCAAGTAACTCACCGGGCAACCACCCAGCACCATCTTCCCCGGCCCAGCGGCGGAGACTCGGCCTTAACCACAAAGCCAGGTGGGTACAGCACCGCTAAAGCTGCCGTGTCGGGCCGCTCCGAGTAGCCTTCCTCCTCGCTACTGGACAGCCAATGGCCCGCCGCAGCGCGACTCCCCGCCCACTTCTACAGCCAATCAGAAGAGGCCGGGCAGGAGGGTGAGGTTGTGTTTCGCTTTTTAGTTCCTTTCCGGGGTCTCACGCTCCTCCTCCTTACACTGCGGACGCTTTGTCCAATCGGATTCCTCGAACCCACAAATGGGAGGGTTTGGGATGGAGGGCGGGGCAGGTAGTAACAGGGCGGGGCCGGCCGGTGTAGACGCACGAGAAGGGTTTAGAAATCTCTATTCTCTTGCGGGGGAGTGGACTTTTCCTACGTCAGTTGAGCGAGCGCGCTACCGGGAGCGAGACCGGAGCGCAGGCTGGGTTGCGTCAGTGCCGCGCGCATGCTCGCCCGCGGGCGCGCGCATCTTGGCCCGCGCGGGGCCCGGCTGAGTTCTGGGAAGATGATGGACGAGGCGGAGGCAGAGGTGACGGAGCGCTGAGTGGAACCTGCTGCGTCTGTGGAGATGGGGTCGGGAGCGGGCTCGCCCTCTGGGACCCTCCGTGTCCACTGGCTGCTGTTGTTCGGCCTGGTGGGCCCGGTTCTCAGTGGGGAGCGGCCAGGTGGGTGTCTGGCTCCACGGTCCTCCGGGACCGCTGCTTCCCGCTCGGGGACGCTCGGAGTTCACCCGCGGAGCCGGGCGGGTCCGGGTCCGGGCACGAATCTGGGCGGGGAGCCGCGGCCGCTCGCCTCGCCGCCTGCCCTCGGAGGCCAGACCCCGGCCGGCCGCGTCCGTCGGCTCCCGCGCGGCCCGCACCCCGACTCGGGGAACCGGGGGCTTGCACCGCGCGGGTTGGCGCCTGCGGCAGGGGCGCGCCCGGGGCCGCCCGAGCCTCGCTCCGGCTTTCAGGCTCGATGTCACCGGCTTGGCTGGAGACAGGGACAGGGAACTTTTGCTTCAGGTTGTGATGATCCGAGATTCTCAGGTTTATTAGCAGAGTCACCAGTGGATCCACGCAGCTAAACGTGCTGATGGGCTAAAGCAAAGGGAGCTCATTTTTCTTGGGCCATTTTTGTTGTAAGAACACTTTTTTGGAAACGAAGTGCTGTATTTCTATAGCCAGGCTTTTATCAGTGTTCATACTGGGTTCGTATTGCCTTAAACCTACAAATAAGCCCTGGTCTGTTTAACTCACGGGATTATCCTTAAGAATGAAATCATTTATGTGAAATCGTTTTGAGTTGTGAAACTTCTCTTGAATATATGAGCTATTTATAGTGGAGATGCCCGAGGATAGTGGAAACAAATCATCTGCACTCTGGTTTCTTCCTGGAAATAACTTATTTATTTTGGCTTTTGTGTTAAATTATTGTTTGCATGGCTGTATTTTCTCAGGCAGCAATGGAGTATATTGGAGAATGAGCTTTTACTCAGTCGTTGCTTTGAGAATTGTCCGAAGGTGATGATGGAAAAGTTCAGTACAAGAGTGTTGGCCTTTCGAAAACATATTACGTTTTTTCTTATCTTTGGCCTTTTCTTTTAAAATTAAGTCAGTTTGCCCCAGTGTCGAAATATTCAAGGTCAAAATACTGAAAGATTTTTGAAGAGAATGGTGCTGAATCTTTTCTGGGACTACTTTTTCTGTGGTATTCTAGGTAGTGCATCTACCAATATTTAAATAAAGTAAATTACACATCTGGAATGTTAGTAAGCCATGATAGTGTAAATATAAATATAAAGTATGTTTTTTAGTTCCTGTATATGTTTATCATTAATTACATGCCTGCATAAATGAATGGAATATCCTTATGGTCTTTAAGTGTGGCTTCAGTGGGACATGGCCAGCCCCTCACTTAAGCAAAAATCAGATTTAGCCAATATTTACCTCATGCCTGTAAACATCACCCTCTGTGCTTGTGGAGGGGCCAAGGATGTCTGAACCTGCCAAGTGTCTCCGGGGGGTTTGGGAGGTTTTATAGAGAAAGTGATATGTGAACTGAACTAAATGGATGAATTTTTCCAGTGAAGGGGTATAGGAATGCCTTCTAAGTAGAAGGAAGAGTTTTCCTAGAGTATCGGAGGAGTGAAAAGACAAGACCTGTTAGGAAATGATGAGAATGTCAGTTTGACTCTAGGTGGTCTCTGTGAAAGGGAGGAATGGAAGGTAACAACTGGTAGACTGGTACCAGTTGCGGGAACCTTCTGTGCTGAGCATAGGGGTTCAGACTTTACCTTGAGGAAGCTCTTTAGGCAGTGAAGAGTGTTAAATGGGAGTGTGACTGTCAGGTTTTTGGTTAAAAAAGCAACAACACAATGGAGGACAGTATCTAGGAGGGAGAGACGGGTAGACCAGTTGAGAGGCTTTGGCAATGAGTGCAGTGAGTCAACTTCTATTTCCCAAGGCGAATGTTCTTCCAAAATCAGCTGATTAAGCTTTTGTAATACAGGATGTTTAAAATATGCACTGAAACTGGTCTGCTAATAAAAAGAGGAATTTGAGGGCCCAGTACATACTACACACATTAATTATGTCAAGAATTAAGTAGATTTTGGTGGAATTTTTACTACCCTTTGCAATGTGTCAGTGAGGAAATGCAGTATACATAATTTCTAAACCCCTGATTTACAATAATTTTTAAAAACCCAGCTGACAAAAGTAACTTTGTAGCATGGTGAAGTATTTAAGGGGAATCAAGTATGAAACCTTTGGTTTTTAATTTTTTTTTTAAGGTAGTAAATACAAAGCACAGACTTAGAAATTTTTATACCGTGGCATTCTAAAGAATTACTGAAAGCTTACTCATGGTGAGTCACTATAAAATGAAGCATGTAGTACTAACTTAGGTCTGTACTAATCTGATTTTTAGATGTCAGCCAGCAAATTATTTTGGTTTGGTATGTTTGTGGTGTGTAAGAGAAGGTAACTTTTAAATTTAAAAAAATTTGGTTGTCAAACTTTGAAGTAGAAAACCATTTATATTATATTTGCTGGGTTCCAAGACAGTTTTCAAAAAGCATTTTAAATTTTAACTTACCAAATTTGACTTTATATTCGCTTTTTGTTAAAAATCCTTTTTTACTATAGAATCCCCCCAAAGATGCAAGTGTAACTGGAAGCTTTTTCTTCTAATATCCTCCAACTCAAATATCTGACATAGCCTCATGATACTGACCTAGTCATGACATAGTTGGAGACCACTAAAGGGACAAAGGGCAAACAAACTCCTGGGGCCTTAGCCCTTAACTCATTAAAAGCATGATTTATGTTTTTTTTCTAAGATGTTCCTCTTCACTTGGCCTACACATGCCCAAAAAGTAAGCAAAAGTAGAACAAAGCTTGACCTTCATTTTATAAAACTCTGGGGCAGATGCTTCTCACTCTGTATGTAGGCATGTTACTTAGGGAATGTCTGTCTAAAGGTTGGCAAAATAAGGTTTATTAGCCCTAAATTTACCTGTTTACCTGTTTTGTCTCATTACTCTTCAGAACTGAGAACACAGGGATAAGAGATTTGCAGGGACATTCAGCTACCCTAGAATATCTATTGCCCTAAACCTAAGGTCACTGTGGATGCCAGTGGAGGCTCACATGACTGAGAATACTCCTCAGCTCAGGAAGATTCCTCTCATGGGAACCACATTACTCCTCAAATCATGAGGATAGAACCAGAGCTACAAATCAGGGCTGAGATAATTGACTAGATAATTGACTACCTGGCCTACCCCAGCTAGTCCATAAAAACTGGCTTCCTGCTTTTGTGAGTGGGACAGTGTGACCCCTGCATCATAGTGTGCCCCCTCCAGCCATTACTCAAGTTGAAGTCCTTTCTTTTTATTTTTTTGGTACCGGGGATTGAACTCAGGTCCTTGTGCTTGCGAGGCAGTTGGAGGAACCTCTGAGCTAAATCCCTGGTCCTGAAGTCCTTTGTGTATCTTCTGTGAATATTACAGCTAAATTAGAAAATATTCTGAGAAAGTTGGGCAGGGCTGGGCCCTCAGCATAAAAAACAATTGAGGCACATTCACTAAAGGTTAACATTAAAAAGAGAAACTGGCCAGGGATTTAGCTCAGTGGTGCCACCAAGCTCAAGGTCCTGAGTTAGATCCTTGATACCAAAAAAAAAGAAACTACTACACCCACATACTTCCCCTAGCGATGAATAGCAGTGACTGATATTCTAAATAGACATCAGTCACCTTAACTGGGGACTAAAGCATCCCTAGCTAGCCCATTCCTTCCTGGAAATCCTGCTATGGGACTAGCTTCCCCATTTGATCTCCATTTAATCAATATTACCTGGGTGACTATATTTGTAATCTTATTGGTTTGTCGTGCTTTTGTCCCATCTCATGCCCACCTTGTGATTTTCCATTGGATGTTATAGTTTTGTCCCACCTTGAACCCTCCTCACCTCATGGCTTTGCCCCATAAAATACCTTTCAGTCTTTCTTAGACAGAAGCTATCTTTCTCTCAATAAGATTTTTCTACTCTTAACCTCTGTTGTTCCTAGAATTCATTCTTTGATTTTAGAGAACACAAAGTCATGTTTCGGATATCTAGCAGGTTGGGAGTTATAATATTTCCCTTGTTGGATTATTTTGCTTATTTGGATTACTTGGTGCCCTATATCATTAACCTTTCAATTAAAGCTTTTTTTCCTGGAAATTTGTGCCATAGTTTTAATTTCCATTATCACTAAAGCAAAGACCTGCACTAGCTGGTGACAATACATTTTTCGCTTCGATACCTGGTACTGTATGTGTATGTCCCAGAGCCTGGGATTGAAGCCAGTTTTGAGTCAGTTCTATGAAACTGCCCCATAAATGAATCTAGCCCTTCTGGTATCATGACACTGGATCCCCCACCACCTCTGCATGGGTCCAACATGGTCCCAGGTAAAATTGAATTGCATGATGTTGTTTGTGTATTGAGAGATTATATTTCATTTTGTGGTGGAAAATGTAATTTTTTTCCCCCCAGTGCAGGGGATCGAACTTGGGTCCTTGTGCTTGCAAAGCAGGCAACGGAACCACTGAGCTAAATCCCCAGCCCTGTAAACTGTTTTAATCAGATCATTTTTCTAAAGTGATCATATGTGGGATACCACTTGAATCACACCTTGTAAGGATGAGGAAGGGAGCCTGAGATTAATTTAATTTGACTAGTTTTTAACTATGTAGTTTTATTTGAATTTATGGGTCTTTTTGTTTTTTTTTTGGGTACCGGGGATCAAACTCGGGTCCTTGCGCTTGCGCAGCAGGCAGCGAAACCACTGAGCTAAATCCCCAGCCCCTTATATTTATTTTAACTTGAGAATTGGGGTTAAGAAAATGCTATCACTGCCAAAACATGTTATTTGTAAGGCAAAACCCATTCCCAAACTTGAGGAGTGCCCTTTCCCTTTTGACACATTTTTCTTTAATGAGATTTTTCTCATTAACTCACTCATTTACTCATTTAACTCACTTCAGCATGATTTTTTACTCTTTTCTTTGAGTAGCTTTTTAGAACACACGATCAAGTAGACCCTGGCAGAGCTGGCTCTGTGGAGGCCCTGTGGATTTGTGGAAAAGTTGATATAAAAGATGTTGATCATAAAAAGAAAGCTCACTTTAGGTTG